GAACACGATATGTAACACAAAACTCTATATCTAAACAATAAATCGTAGATTAGAATTCAAATCTAAATGACAGTATAATACACAATATTTCTAAAGTGTGCATTTGAATTTATACAAAAATACTATTTATTTATATGTAAAGGATCTCATCATGGATCCTCTCCTTCGATTTTTGAAAATTATATTTTATACATATATAGATATATTTTTTTCTATTTTAATAATTCACAACTTATAATCTTTAAAATTACTATATATATCAAAAAGGAAAGTGTAATAACAAAAGCAAGAGCGAGTCTATTTCTATAGCATACTCTTACAATATGTCGGTCATGCTGGTTTTTGGGGGGATTTTAGTAGGAGCTACAACACTGAATCTAATTTTGAAAGAAGAATGTAAGTCAGAAGACCTAAATATAAAATACTGTAAACCACGTCAAACGTTTATATAGCTATTCAAATTTAACTTCAATTTTTTGTAATGTCTATATGCAAAATTGAGGTTGTAGATAATTGGACAGTTTCCACGCAACTATTTGTGTAGTTTTTCATAGTTTTCCAGACACGTAAACTGACAATGATCGACATATATAGTTTTACTACAATAGAATTAAAACATTGAAATGAAATGTCAATTTTAAGATTGTCTACAATATATAGAACATTATATACCGGGTGTCCCATAGGAAATTGTTGAAACTAATCAGTCATTTTTTAATGTATGCAGTTATTGAGAAAACAAAAATTGTGTTGAAAAGAGGAAAGTCTACAGTTTTTAATGGATGTAAATAAAATGTTTGTACGTCAGTTTATTTTATTGAAAAAAGTGCGCACCATTTGAATTTGTACAAAATATTGTTCTTTTACGAAAACTCGTAAAAACTTTTTCTAACATTTCATTTTTCATGTTATTGACAATCCTTTTAATAGCTGCCATTAAATCTAGCATTGTTGAAAATATTTATCATTAGTTTATGTGATTATTAGCACTTTTTCATTACTTTTTATCAATAAAATAAACTGGTGTACAAACATTTTATTTACATCCGCATTAAAAACTGTAGACTTTCCTCTTTCCAACAATTTTTATTTTCTCAATAACTGCATCCATTAAAAAAAACAGCTGACTAGTTTCAGCAATTTCCTATGTGACACCCTGTACGTGTACAAAAAGAAGAGAAGAGAAAGAGAGAGAAAAACAATCGAAGCAGTTGTGTAATAAAAAGTAAATAGTATACAATAGTGTGTTACATGCTACTATTTCTACTACTTCAACTATTTCGCAAACTCTAAGAGAAGAAAAAAATTAATAGCGATTTTTTTGGGGTGGCTCTGCGAAAAACGATGAACGACGTCACAGTCTCGCGTTTCAGTTCGTATATTGAAAGGATTTCAGGTTTTGCATTAAAAAATAAAAAAACAAAAATATTTATGCGCTATATACATATATACATATATATTATACATTTATTCAGTCAATAAAAATTAATTGCTCCCCATTGAGCCGTTCACCTAATGAAAAATGTATAAGAAAGAAAAAGTATTTAAAATATTTATATCTAACGCAGCAGAAAAAAACTATTAATCTAAAAAAAAACAAAAAAATCGTGGACAAAAATTCATGAATTAAAATAAAAGGCACACACCGATGAAAATGACAAAAAAAATAAAATACATGATTGTTTTAAGAGAAATACGTTGCTATTGAAACGTGATCTTATATCAAGTACTTACATACACATAGAAAGTAATAACTATATACAAAAAAATATGCAAAGCAAAAGACAAAAAAAAAAAGAAATATTTCTGTTAATATAAAATATGTACATACATGTATACGATTGTTGACTTTCTGTTTTACGAACAGAATTTTTTTTCTTCTTTGAGTCCCATTTAAATCACGAAAAGTTGCCAAAGAATTTTATCCGATATTCAAATTCTTTTTTATATTTTTCCTCCTTCATCCCTCTCTATCTCTTTCTCTTTTCGCCCCAATTAGAGCAAATTTTTTGTGTCTATACAAAAATTTTTGTAAAATAAAAAATATTTTAAACATTAAAAATTAAATTTAATTCGCTCTCTAAGATCTTTTTACTATCTTTTCTTTGTTTGATTTCTGACAAAGTCTCTATAACTTTATCATGATAATTTTTATGACTGATTTTTACAGTATTATTACAATAAAATATATTCTCACAAAATCCAATTTCAAATAAGACATGATATTTTGCTTTTTACTAATTTTGATGTTTTTCTTGATATTAAGCTCAATGATGAGAACATGACGGAACTTCTGATCTTATTTTTAAACTACAAAATAGATACAAAATAGAAATAAACAAAATGTACAAAAAAAATTATATTTAAAAAAATTTTTTATTTTGTTTTAATTATTTCTTTAATTTTTTAAATATTTTTTCCGTTCTTTTACAAACATTTTGTTATTTATCTCAATATCTTTGTTACTCTTTTTAATTGAAAAATTGTTTTTATTCTTTATAATTAAAATTATTTTTGTAAAATTCTATTCGTTTTTTTATTTGAAAGTAGGTTAATCTCAAATCGCCCCTTTTCTTAGGATCTGTCAATGAATCCTTTGCTTTATCAATTAGGACGAAAAGAACTTGAATATTAAATGCAATAAAATTCATTGCATAAAAATTATCCTAAAATATACAAAGTAAAATATACAAAGAAAATTAAAAAGAAAATTTACTTTTTTTTAATTTTGTATTTTCTTTTTAGTTTCTTTTTTTAATTTTTTCGCCCCTTTCTTCTTAAGATCTGTGAATGAATACTTTGCTTCATCAATTAGTACTTTGAATATTAAATGTGATAAAATTCATTGCATAAAAATTGTCCTGAAATATACAAAAGAAAAATATAGAAAGAACATTATAAAGATAATTTACAATTTTTTAAATTTGCTATCCACATTTTAGTTTTTAATTTTTTATACTTTTCTTCGTCCTTTTAAGAAAAAATAAAAAAAGAAAGAAACGAAAGCAGTAAGGTTCGATTGCATCAATGTTATTTTAGTTTTAAGTGAGACTTACATATGTATCTATCTTTATCTTTCTTTCTAAATAAATAAAGACAAACATATATTTAAGTTTTGCTTAAAATCAAAATGACGTTGGTACAATCGGGCCTAACAATAAGTGACATACATGTATCAGTAAGTACGATGATCACTGTATCTTCATCATTCAAGAACAAAAAAAAGAAAATTCAATAATCACACGTGGTAAAATTCGTAGCATAAAAATTGTCCTAAAATGTACAAATAAAAATATACAAAGTTTACAAAGAAAATTTATAAACACAACTAAGAAAGGCCTTAAGGCCTTGAGAGTGGATGTTCTTGCGTATTTATAAAATTTATTTTTCGTTGGAAATAAATAGTTGTGCACAAGGCACGTATTATTCTTGATGTACTACCCAGACCTTAAAAATCTGAAATATTCTCATACTTGAGATTTAATTTTATAAAACCCCTTTAATCCATCTAAAGAAAAATTGCGAGAGAAAAGATTTATTTTCAACTAAAATTTTCGTTGGAATATACGCAGGAACATCCGCGTGCGGCTCTTAAAGCCTTTCTTATAATTAGTTGTATTTATATATGTAATATTAAAGAGCCTTGAATTAGTCTTAAAGAAAACTTTTTTTTTATATTTTTCTGCGTTCTTTTAAAAAAAGACAGATTTGTATTCACCTTATTTTTATTAATTAAAATTTTTTCTTTTTTCATTCTTTTATTTCTTCCTAGAACCTTATGTCAGTAAGTGATTATGATGATCAATTTATCTTCATCATTCAAGAACGAAAAAAAGGAAATTCAATAATCACACGTGGTAAAATTCATAGCCTAAAAATTGTCCTAAAATATACAAATAAAAACACATAAAAAAAAATTTACAAAGAAAATTTACTTTCTTTTTTAATGTTTTATAATATTCTTTGTCCTTTTAAAAAGGCAAATTTGTATTTTTCTTATTTTATTTTTATTAAAATGTTTTATTTTTTTTTTAAAAGTTAATCCTAAATTCCTACCCTTTCCCGCTTCCTAGGACCCTACGTCACTAAGTGGTTATGACGCTCACTTTATCTCCACCCGTCAAAACCAAAGAGCAAAAGAAACTTCAATAATCCCACGTAATAAAATTCATTGGCAACTCGACCTTTCGTGACCTTGAAAGAAATTCGACTCCCTAGGTAGCAAACTGACGTCACTAAACGTCACAATGACGTCATTCTGACGTCGAACAACGTTACTTTGACGTTTAATGACGTCGTTCGACTAAATCGGGTCCTATATATACATATATGTATATAAAATGATTCTTCCTAAGTCAAAGGACGGAAAAAAAAAAAAAAAAAAAAAAAAAAAATTATTCCAACGGAGGCGGAGGAGGCGGCGGTGGCGGGGGTCCGCTGGGCAGAGGCGGAGGAACCGGCGGGGGCTCTAGAGGCGGAGGAGGCGCCCCCTCGTCCTGACGCGACTGACCAGGCGCGGAATGGTTGACCAAACTTTGCAGACCCGGGATCAAGGACGGCGGCGGCAGCGACGTGTTGATGGCGCTGCCGTCCGGGGTCATGATCAAGGCGCCTCCCGCCGGGGGATACATGGTGGGGTACTGGGACGACTGCTGGAACTGCTGGTAGTATTGCTGGTACGCGGGATCATACACGTAGTGCAACGAGGACGGGTAATTGGGGTAGAAGTACGACTCCGCCTGGTCAACGTAGGCCCCCCTCGCGTTATGATGATGGGGTGCGCGATGATGGTGGGTCTGGTGGGACTGATAGGGTGGAGGTGGTGGCTGATGCTGTTGATGAGCGCGGTTGTTACTACCGTAATTGTCACGTTGGTAGCGACCACCGGCGCTACCACGTGGACCGGAAGTCGCGTGATGGGGTGGTGGCGGTGGCGGTAGTGGTGGTGGTGGTGGCAAATTGCGAGCGTCGTAATGCTGACGGCCGCCTCTACCACGTACCTTATTATTGCTGCCGGAGTTATAATGTCTGCCGTTTTGCCGTTCCCCGGGTGGTCGGTGGCTCTGGCCGTAGCTGGTCCCGGGTACCGTCAGCTTCTTCAGCAACGAGGAATCGCCGCTGCCAGGTATCAGACCGTCGCCGGACAAATGTACCTCGAGGCCGCGCTTCCGGGTCGTCATCTCGTTCACGGACGTCGTCTCGCTGGAGAACTGGCCGGAACCGTTCGTCGAGGATGAGGCCGGCGGCGGCACGGAACTCCTGGAGATCCCGTCGGTACGGATCTTGATCTTCAGGGAGCCCTGAACCTGCTGCGCGGGCGAGCTGGACACGCTGTCGGTGCCCTTCAGCCGCTCCTTGGGTATCTTGATCTTCAGACCCGTGCCTTGCGGCGATATGTTCTTGTTCTGTTCCGAGGAGGAGCTCGCGCCGCCGAGAACGCTCGGTGAGGTATCCGTGCTCAGGTTCAGCTTGTCCTTGGGAATCGTGATCTTGATGGGCGCCGCCGCCGTCGCGGCGACCTCCTCGCTCCTCTCCTTCTTCTCCCGATGCCGCTCCTTGTCCTTATCCTTGTGTTTATGCTTGTGCTTCTCCTTACTCTTTTCCTTGTCCTTGTGCTTGTGCTTCTCCTTCTTCTTCTTCTTCTCGCTTTTGTGGTGCTCGGACCGCTTCTCCTCCACCGCGGCGACCGTCATCGGGGCGTGAACCGAACTCGAAGCGACCACCGACGTCGCTACTTCAGGGATACTGCTGCTGTTCGGCAGTATCATCGACACCCCGTCGGAGAGAATGCTGATGTCGACTGTCGAGGCTATCGAGGTGAAACTGTCGCTCACGGTCGGCATCACTAAACAAGGAGTCGTCGCCGGCAGCTGGTGATGGATAGACTGCAACTGCTGCTGCTGCTCCTGGTGCACCTGAGAAGGTATCTGACTGTCGAGCTGCGGCAGACCTTGCAAGAGCGACGGCATCTGCGGTAGGGGTTGCTGAAGAAGCGCGCTTATACTCTGCGCGGACTTGATCGGGGACGAGAACTCGAACTTCGGCTGCAACTGAGAGTTCAGCGATAATTCGGACGGTCTCTGCACGGATCCCGGTTCCTTCTTGATGTAATGCTGCTCCAGAGGCTCTCTCTTCACGCGATATTCCGGGAACTCTTGCTTGATCGAGTTCAAGTCTATCCCGTTCAGCGTGACGGCGGTGACCTTGTGCGTCTGCGACGGAATCGCGTTGAAGCGCGGCTGGTCCGAGTCGAAAGGCTTGATGAGCTCCGGCGGCGGCTTCAGATCGTTGACGACGGACGAGGACGGTGCAGCACCGGCGCCGTTTCTGTTGCTCGATGGATTATTGCCGTCCCGGATGGGCTGGATCAGATCGGGCACGCGACCCAGCATCTTCATCGCCTCCAAACTCTCCTCCTGCTTAATCTCGGTCTTTATCTTCAGCTCGACCGCGGTCTCGCCGCTGCTCGACGTGCGGGCCCTCTTATTGTGGGACGCGAAAGTCGACATGCCATCGCTGGAGGCCGACCGCTTCATCGCCGACGCGTCCTGGGCACCTGGGGAGTTCGCGAACGGCGACGCGCGTTCCTTCAGCTTCGCCGCGCTCGCGGACAGCAGGGTCTTCTGCTTCGACTTGGTCGGCCTCGCACCGGGCTGCGGCTCCCGGCTGGTCGGCGTCTCCGGGCTGAAGAGCGATCTATGCTTGCCTGGAGGCGGCGGCGGGGTGTGCACGTCGACGGAATTTTTCTCGACGAGATTCTCCTCGTGCCCCGGCGCCGCGGTTCGCGGTGGTCGCTTCTCCGGCTTCTGGTCGTCCACGTTGTTCAGATTCAGGCAGGACTGGGAACTACCGTTCTTGATGGTGTCCTTGAGAATCTGGGACACGCCCTGGACGGTGTGCTGGTTGTACAGCTGCGTCTTGGCCGACGCGGCCGACTTCTGCTGGCTCACCGCGCTCGGCGACGCGTCTTGAGAGATCGCCGCCAAATGCTTCGCATCGAATGACGAGCCGCTCTTGTCCTGCTGCTGATTGTAGCCTTTCGAGTGATGCGCCTGCTGCTGCTGTTGTTTCTGGGCGTTTATCAGGTACGGCATATCCGCCTGCTTCGGCGGCGGCAGCGGCTTCTCGATCAGCTTCCGCACCTCCTCGCACCGCTGCTCCTCCGTCTTCCGTCGCTGATTCTCCATCCTGCTCATGTCCGCGTACTTGGCGGACTTGAGCCGCGGATCCTCCCCGCGGTACAGCCGCTTGTCGTGCGCCTGGTGCTTCCCGTCCATCGCGTTCAGTCTGTGCCCGCTGTGGTTGTTGTTGCTCAGCTTCTCCGGCAAGCCGCCGTAGCCCAAGGAGTCCTGCGCGGTGTCGGATCGGTGGGACTCGGCCGAGCCGTCCAGGTTCACGTGAGCGTGCGACGAGGAATGAGCGATGTTGTGCTCTCGGGAGAGTCGTTGTCGATTGGGGTCTCTGGGATGAGACCCGCTGGTCGAGTGCCTCTGCGGTACCGGCTGGCCGACCTTCAGGTCCGACCGATGATGATGATTGTGATGGAGACCCCCTGTGCCCTTCTGCACCGGCATCTGATGCTTGCTCGACACGCTTGGCATGGGTTTGTGATGGTGCGAGTGATGAGGAGGCTTGCCGGGATCGGGGATGTGGCACCCGATCGCAGCCGCAGCGGCCGCTGCGGCTGCAGCCTTCTCTCTCTCCAGACGCTCGCGCTCTTTCTTCTCGCGGTACTCCCGATAATCCATCGCCGTCCTGGACGTCGACGGCCCCGGGACCGCCTTTTTCTCGTCCTGCTTCTCCTGGTGGTGGGAGCGACTCGAGTGGGCGACGGCGCCGTCCGAGGAGACGTGGTGGGAGCGACTCGAGTGGGCGACGGCGCCCTCCGAGGAGACGTGATGTGAGCGACTCGAGGTCGCCGTCGAGCTCGAAGCGACGCTGTCCGTCGTCGTATGGTGAGACCGGCTCGAGTGAGCCATGCCGGACGGACCGGGAACGCCTTCCATGGAGTGAAAGCGCATCAGGTGGGCGACGGTGGCGGCGCCGGGATTGTCCGCCGGCGATTGTATTGTCCTGCGCGGCTCGGCGTCCTGTCCAGGAAGGGGAAACAAGTTAGAATCTTCCCATTGATATTTCAACTGGAAATATATTTCATTCGTGATGTTGTGATTGCGAGGCGAGTCATGAAATGAAATAAAAAAAAATAGATAAATAAATGAAATAAGAAATGCGTAAGCAGAATTGTTAGAATATTGATGTAACGAGGTACTTACAAATGGCGAATTCGGGAGACTCGGATGATGAACGGTCGGACTCTGATTCGCGGAAATGCTCATGATCTTTCTCTTCAGTCTCGATGGACATTTGTCGAATATGTGTAGGAACTCGTCCGTGAGCTCTTGAAGTAAATCCCCCGTCACGGTTTTGTCTACGTACCAGAACCATTGTCTTCCTTCAGTACTTTGAGGTATCTGCGCGTAAAGAGAAAGAAGTGTCTATTAGAGGATCATACATGTTGACGTTACGTTTAAAAAAAATGAACAGATACCCAGATAGCAAACTGACGTCATTAAATGTCAAAATGACGTCATTCGACGTCGAAATCACATCATTTTAACGTTTAATAATGTCGAATGACGTCATTTTGACGTTTAATGACATCAGTTTGCAACCTGGCTATAAATTGGCAAACTCATAAGTACAATGAATATGATATCGATCATCCCAAGTGGCAAACTGACGTCATTCGATGTCAAAATGACGTGCGCTTGCTACCTAAGACGTTACAATTTTCATTCCCATCACACTCTGATTATGTTGCATAAATTTACGTACATATTGATGACGTATACACTCTCTTACCTCCCAATTGGACCACTTGCATGCGAGGTGGATGCAAAAGCAGGCGACAACTGTGGGCTTATATTGCAGACACATTGTCGTCAAATGTAAACTGAAAAGACATACTCGTATAAAAAAAGGTAAAAATATGCATAATCATTTAATAGATTTGCGAATCAAATCTTGCTTGCAATACAATGATAAGCTTGTATACAGTTTTAGAAAATACAAAAAATAATATGAATTATGTTACCTGTTGGACGCCATGAAGTACGACGTTTGAGCTAAGTCTTTGCTTGCTAAAATAAAAATATTTTGTATATAATTCAATACTGTTTTAAACCAAAATTGAGATGCGGAGAATTTAATCTCTACCTTTCACTAGTTGACAGCACCTAACTACATGTGTATGCGGATGATCTATTGCGACATCAAATCCTAAAGTCTGTAGAAGTACATTCTCATTGAACACCAGATCTTGGGCCTGCTCAAGAAATTGCTGCAAAATAAAATTCATCGTAGTAAGATACAAATATGAAGGATATAGGATAAAATGTATAATTATAAATTACACATCATTTGAAACTCACTTCTGATCTGGGGTCAGGTTGTGAGGCTTCTCTGTGAAGACACGTATATGCAATTTTTATGACATGTTCTAACTTTCGTGGCTGTTCTTCTACCTTTGCTGCTAAGAAAAGTGCTGCCACAGCCATAGAATTTCTGTGGAACTGGGTCAGCGAATGAAATACATAAAACCTGTGCATGTAGACTATAGCTGTGTTGATACATAATTGTGATCTAAATTTTCATTAATTAAGAAAAACTCCATTTTCATAGAATTGTTATATTTATCGATGAAAAATTATATAAATTATTTAGAATAGAGAGCAATTAAAAATTATGTGATTATTATCTTTATATTGTTCATCTTGTAACATAATTTCTATTAAATAATATTGTTATATAAATAATTATATATTACAAAACTTAATATCTCTATATACATATAATAGTTAGTCTCCAAAATTAATATTATTTCTAATTATTAGTTTGTTAGTGCATTATTCCTTCCAAAATATTAGACAGATAAAAGAATAGATATAGTAATAATAGATAAAGCAATAATAAATAAGTAAACATAATAAGATAAAAAAGGAAATATAATTAAATAGATGAGCAATATACAGACACAAATAAATAATATAAATATGTTCATATATATACATTATATATAGATACATATAAATTTTATTTTATATATATATAATTTTTCATTATATATATATATATATATATATATATATATATATATATAATTTATATGTGTCTATATGTAATGTATATATGTGAACATAGTTATATAATTGAATAATATTAAGAATATATAATTCGGCCTCATACATAAATACAACATACATATTTGCATCGGCATATTGGCCATACCGCGATGTTCTTTGCGTCCACGAAATTAATTTTTTCGTTGGTTTAGGAATAGTATCTTTGGTTTGGATCTCTGATTCTTGTAATACCCCCTTTAATTTAAAACCTTTGTAAAGCTATAAGGCGAGAAAAATATTGATCCGAAAGACGGCTGAATCGGGAACAATATTTTTCTCGCCTTATAGCTTTACAGGGGTTTTAAATTAAAGGGGGTATTACAAGAATTAAAGATCCAAACCAAGGATACTATTCCTAAACCAACGAAAAAATTAATTTCGTGGACGCAAAGTACATCGCGGTATGACGAATATGCCGATGCAAATATATATGTTATATAATTAAAGTTGAACAAAAGTAGAGAAAACAAACACTGAAATTAGGACATGTAAAAAAAATTATACATATATATACATTACATTCTGCAAAGACTACACAAATATTTTTATAAAAATTTTCAAACCACTTTAGTTTACTAGATATTAGGATATCGTAAACGATCATTTCTTTGCACTGATGTTTCAATACAAAATCTAATAAAAATATATGTAATTTTCCCATTTTCGCACTACATCCTATCTTTTCTTTCTCTGAAATATAACTCATAATACTAATATATAAATAATAAATAAAAAAAATCCTATCACAGTAATCTTCAAATTCTTCAAAAAGAAAGTATTAAAAATTCTTTTTAAAAATTCGCCTTAAATTAGAAAGGAAATAAAAAATAAAAAAAACGAACTATATAAATCTACTATGTTGTTAGAAATTTGATGATTAATTTAAAAATGGTAAGATTAAATATGGTACAATAGAGGTATAAAAGAATTTATTTAATTTCATTTGCATGTACATCCAACACTCAATTTCACTGTGTTCAATGTTGTTTAAACATGGTTTTTTTTTCTTCGTAATAATAAATTCAGTTTATATAAGATTTGGTAACAATTCTAAAGTTCATCATATATCACACTATTAATATATCACCAAGAAATAAATCCAAGACATAAAGAGAAATTAAAACATTATAATATATAAAACCACAATATTCCTCTCGACTAATAAATTATAATATATATTTTAACAATTTTTTAAAATAAATATATTGAAAAAAAAGAACTGCTCTTTCCATAGGACGTAGAAGAATAAACATAGATGAGGATTACATTCTGAAGAGTTGTAAAAATCCATGATATATAAAAGTCTCAAATAAAAATAAACAGATTTTTTACTCCCAAATATATTTTGACAACTTGCTTGTAATGACCTGCAAAGATAGTGTTGCGTTAAATAACTTATAAGTAACATTTAAAATTGTTTCTACAGGATATAACAAAAGTGTGTACTGCTACTTCAGCATATCGAGTCATCAAAATGAACAAATAAGTTAGACAATATAAATATATATCCAAAAGTGCATTCTCAACATTACAATTACATTTGAATCAAAACTTAAGATAATTACAAGTATTAATTTGTTTTTACAATAGAAAATAGAATAGAATTATCAATAGGAAATAATTTGTCCAAGCAAAATGGGCAAATTATTTTCCAAAAATTATCAAACTGACAGGACGATAGATAAATTGAAAAATCATTTTAGAGGACATATGTTTATATGAACTTTTTCCTTCATTTCAATGAGGAAAACACATTCCTAAAATAGTAGCGACAGTATTTTGTTACATCCTGCATAATATCCCTAGAAAACAAAAATTCAGATCTGTTACTGCGATACAAAATACAAGCAAGGAAATATTTGAGTGACAAGATGTGATTGCTTCAATGATATATCAACAGATTAGTATTTCGAATTTGTAATTTATACTACCAAATTAGACTGGATATTCTCTATTATTCATCGATTACTATTCAAGGTCTGGTCTTTTCAGCTAAACTGGCTGCGATGGTTCAGAATTCACCCGTTTTACTCCACATCGGAAGGAAAGAAGCAAACTCCAAACCAGCGCAGTCAATTCAAGCTGAAAATAGACCTGAAATGTGGATACACACTGATGTTTTGAGCAATATTTCTTCAATTACCATTCAATAGGTCTGCTCTTTTCAGCTAAACTGGCTGCGATGGTGCAGAATTCACCTGTTTCACTCCACATTGGAAGGAAAGAAGAAAACTCCAAACCAGTGCAGCCAGTTTGACTGAAAACAGACCCAATATATGGACACGCACTGATTTTGGGCTTTTGCTCAAAAAGAGGAAAGAAAAAATCAACAGAAGTTTCTCCTCCAGCTAAGGTTTCCCTCTCGACGTCCCTAGAAATTTTCATTGAATGATCGTTTACGATACCTGGAATGCACCACAAATTCCAATATGGTCAAAATCCATTGTCTCCCTGCATCTTCACGACAGACACGTGTTTCTCGAAAACACGATTTTTCTGGCGTGTCGCAAAGTTAAAAAAATTATTAATAAAGAACAAATTAACAAAAGCTGTTTTACGAGCTAAGTATTGGATGGAATTTATTTTAAATTATACATCTATAATCCTGAGATGTGGTAACTCCACATCTCAGAATTATAGATGTATAATTTAAAATAAATCCCATCCAATACTTAGCTCGTAAAACAGCTTTTGTTAATTTGTTCTTTATTAATTTAGCAAAACGAGCTTTCACAATATATTTATTTTATATTAAAAAATTATATCTACCAAAAAAAACAAAAAAAGAAAGAAAAAGGAGAAATAGAATGCAAGTTGTTTCGCTCTTCAGACATGAGATGCATGAAAAAAGGATACACAACGAGTCTCTGGCCCATATCCTGGATGAAATTCGCCGCTTGCTGGCGATAACTCAGCTCCTTGTCCGCATCGATGCCGTGTCTCCTGCTCGGCGTGTTTGCAAGCTGCTCTCTCGTAAAGTACCATCGTTCGTCAGCCGCCATTTATATTTATATATATGTACACGCGCGAGAATCTCTCGCCACTCAAATCAAAAAACGATGCACGCACGCACGATTCGCGCGGGGCGGCAAAGGGGAAAGGGGTCCGAACGCACACTTGATATATACGCACCACTTCGCTTATATCTTCTCCCCTCGTGGCTAACGTCACGTCGTTCGCTCGCGAGAATTTAAAATGGCGCCGCAGTGGCTCACGGATAATCGTAAACACTCGGTGCGAGAGAGACGGAGAGTCTCTCGTTTACGTGTATGTATATATATATAGAGAGGTCTCCTCGTATCGCTATCGAGTGAATTTGGTCGCGAATGGGGTTTTTTCTGTTGCACACTTCATTGCGTCAGATATTAGAACGGCTGGTAGAAAACAATCGTCAGTCTTTTTATTCCCCTTTTTTTTGCGATTTATATATATTTATATATATATATATATATATATATATATATAATTTCATTCTAGAAAGAATTTTCTTTCCGTATTTTTGCATCACCTTATTAAACGTCAAAGTACGCAAGAACTGTCAGTCAGCAAGTGACGGAAAAGAATCACCGCCATTACTTTTCAGTTTCATCATATCACTTTTGTTCCGTTCGCTCGTGAGCAGTGTCTTTGTCGGGAAAAGTGTCTTTGTCACGTAACGTGGGGAATTATCCTCGAGGGTTAATTGAACCCGCGTCAATTTTCAAGCGACGATGATGATGATCGGGAAGAATGCGCTCTCATAACCTCCTGAATTTATCGAGGCGACGCATCGTCATCGGGTCCTCTCCGTTCCCGCGATTACCCGCAGTAGCGACGCTGAGGAGCCGAGGTGTGCGTTCACACGTTGCGTAACACGTGGACGAGGCGCATCGTCGTCGAGAGACCGTAACGTCGTCGTCGGGGGAGCCCCCGGGTCTTTTCCTCCGCCGCCTCTCGTTCTTCCTCTTCGAGAACTTCTTCGTCACCGCGAGTCCTCCTTCTCCTCTCCGACTCGGGTCCTCTTCGTCGCCACACCGAAGGCAGCGCGGCCGTGGACGGGCGAGCGCGCTCTCTCCGACGTGAATCTAGATATTTCGAGACATTTTCACGGAATCTGAGGGTGCGATTACATGGACGCGCGGAAACGCGGAAACGCGGAAACGCGGAAGAGAAAGTAACTAAACTTTACTAGAGTCCCGCATTTCCGCGCGTTCCGTTCCGTCTGTTTTGATTGCCTTATATTACATGGAGTACATTTTGAGCGGAAAAGCGGAACGGTATAGTGACAAATAGACATTTGTATTAATTTTTTAAATTTATATTTACTTAATTCATTGTAATTGCTTTTAATATGTTCATCTTTTCAACTTATCTATTGAATACAAGCATTTTAATCAATAAATATAGTTAAGGGTCGGCAGTACACCCAGGCAAACTCCGAATTGATATTGGAGACCTCGTGCGGTGACAACGCGAAACTCCGGTTTCAGTGTTGCCAACGCCGAGAAACCAATTCTCGGGTTTTATGTAGTGGTGTATGTCTGTACACGTACATACACCAACTGCATCGCTCACGCGGACGCACGTAAGAGAGACAAGGACCGATAATCACGTGTTCTCCTTGTTCATCTACCGTGCCGGTATACGCGAGATGCCGCCTGAAAATGCTTTCTGGCCTTCCGTAGCAGAAAGCAGTAACGTAGCAAGACTAATAAACACCCACTTTTTGGAAATTGTATATATGGTTATGCACATATGTGCATAACGTATATATATAACATATATATATATATATATATATATATATATATATATTATATAAGGGATATGTTGATTATATTCTTGATTTCTTTTTGATTATTGATACTATTGTATAATTTGCTCCAAATACTTATAACGTGAAAGAACGTTGAGTAATGTATAATCAATGCAAGGATGTTCAGTATATCATCCAGTATATAAATTAGAGTTCAAATATATCAATATCAATTTTTTTATATATATATATATATATATATATATATTAGAATATAGAAAAATGATAAAAAAATATATTTCGGCGATTTAAAAATTTTTTAATATATTGAAAATATTTTTACTACATACACTATATATAAGTGTAAAATAATTCAGAAAATAAATTTAATAAAAATCTACATACCAGCTGTGTGCATGTGTGCAATTGATTTATTACTTGAAATTTATTTACGGAATTATTTTGCATTTATATATTTATAGTATGTGTAGTTGTAAAATGATTAAAATATTTTCAATATCAAATTTTTAAGTTTATCGCCTATATAAAAAATATATTTCTATGATTTTCTATATTCCAATATATTATAAAAAAATTGATATTGATATATTTGAACTCAAGTTTTTTACGTGATTAAATATTCTTGCATTGAGCCATCATACGTTACTCGTAAGTTCTTTCACGTCATAAGTACTTATGTAGCAGAGAGGAAGAAATGAGAGTTATACAATGTAACATCAATAATCTTATATATTATAATCTTATATATTATATATATATAATATTTCATTTATTTATAAAAAACATTTTATAAATAAGTAAAATATTATACAGACAATGTACAAGATGTTCAGTTTGTGCCATAACAAGCTTCAATCAATAATTATTACTCCAATGAGTATAATTCACAATAATTTTTATATAATATAATAAGTATTTGAATATATAAAATATTTTTAAAAATTTGTTTTAAAAATTAATTGAAAAAGAATATTTAAAATATTTTTTTATATTTAAAATATTCTTTTCCTCAATTAATCTTAAAAAAAATATTTTAAATATTTAAAAATATTTAAAAATACTATATATTATATAAAAATAATTGTTGATTATTATATTGGATTATTAATTGAATGAAGCTAGAGCTTTTAATATGGCTTTTAATACTGCTTGACAAGGAGAGAGCATCATTCCATCTTTGTCTCTCTTACATCGCATATGTAGTAGCGTCCATGTAGGTACAAACACTAAAAAATATTAAATTTAATTTTTTTATTGTTTTGAATAATTTTATCATTAATATACTTATTTTCAGAACTATTTCAATTTTTATTTCATACTTATGTTTATATAAATTATAAATTAAAAACATATCAAAAATGTAATACATATTAATAAAATGCAAATACATATAGAAAATTAATTATAAAATGTCATCTTAAAATAGTTTTTATTTTTGTTCTTTATTTACATATGCATACATATACAAAAAAATAAAAATAATATGATAGCCTTTTTGCTAACATTATCTCTCAATATTTGCATCCGTGTGCTCACGTATTAGTGTTTGTACCTACATGGACGCTACTACATATGCGATGTAAGAGAGACAAAGATGGAATGATGCTCTCTCCTTGTCAAGCAGTCAGCATGTTACCACAGAAATTTCCCCTGCTCCTTATGAATCTAGTGAGAATCTTATCGTCCAGATATTTCATAAAATAAGTGACATAACTTCGTGAATTTTTTTTTAATATATTCTTTATATAATAAAGCAGTCCTCTAAAAGGCCGGATTTTACATTTTCGCTCTTAAAAATTTATAATAAATAAAATACGGACTCGCGGCTAACCCAACCTTACCCGTTCCTAGCTGTGCATTCCCCCAAGTTTATTAAAAATTTTTATTTTTATCTTTTTTTCATAAAATAGCTCTTTAGAGGACTACAAATGAGCTTACTGATTAAGAATATCCTAAATTTAATAAGATTCATTCAATATTTTCGCTAATATCTGGAAAATAAGAATCCGTAATTCCCGGCCGGCCGATAGGCGTCTCCACCATGTCGCCTGCCGACCCTTAAATATTAATATTTTATAATTCCCCGTTCCGCTTTTCCGCTCAAAATGTGCTCCATGTAATATAAGGAAATCAAAACAGACGGAACGGAACGCGCGGAAATGCGGGACTCTAGTAAAGTTTAGTTACTTTCTCTTCCGCGTTTCCGCGCGTCCATGTAATCGCACCCTGAGTGAGTGGTGGGCGAAAAAAAGCATCGATTCCGAAAATAATCGATGTTTGAGAATCGATGCTTTTCCAAATATATCGATTCTTTTTTATCGGAATGAAACGCGCCTGATTGGAATATAATTGGAATTAAATATAGAAAGAAACTAAAAAGAAATTAATAAAAGGCGATTATAATCAACAAACAAAACATATTAAAATAATAAGAGGTAATTAAAATGTCGAGAAATAAAAATGTAGTGAAATAAACAAAACCAATTTCAAAGTAGCATGCATATCTTAAGTAGGGTTTTTTTTAATTAAAGTATTATTTTACTTTTATTCGTATTATTTATTTGTATTATTTTACTTTTTATTCGTATGTAGATACAAAATTAAGCATAGAATCTCAGGAAAACAATTTTTATATATAATTTATGTATAAATAATTATATAATTATACATAATTATATTTGTGAATTATGTCTATTTTTATACATAATTATATAAATTTATATGTAAATTATAATGGTTCATATATATATATATATATATAATCACGTCAAATTATATATGAAACATATATATTTATAAAAAACCACTCCTCAATGTTTAAAGTCGACCAGACTGGCAATAATTTATTATAAATAATTATTTGAAATACAACAACGTTTCGGCTGTCATTGCAGCCCTTTTCAAGTACATCTATAAAAAGTTCAATCAAAAGAGAAATTGCAGAAATGTTTTACATAAAAAAACAAGGAAAAAGTATTAATTTACAGAAAGATACGGAGAATTTCAGTGGGATTTATGATCGTGTTCTTGACGTTATTTAAGTCGTTTTATATTTATTTTTACTTTTAATTTTATTTTTATATCCACCTATTTATTTATTTTTATTTATTTGACTTTATTATGACGATTTAAATTACGAAAGACACATTTAGTTTCGTCTCTATCTTCTTAACGCTTAGTGACTAAGATTCTTGTGAACAGTTAACATCTATTTAATATGTGCTTACTTCTGTCAGTCTTACATTGTTCATCAAAACAAGCGTTAACATTGTCGGTAGTTTACATAGAAGTTGATTTACTGTTTTAAATTTGGTATGTAACACATTTTTGTTTTTAAATGTATAATTAATTGTTGCGAATAAGTGTATTAAATTATAATTATTTTGATTAAACTTTTTATAGATGTACTTGAAAAGGGCTGCAATGACAGCCGAAACGTTGTTGTATTTCAAATAATTATTTATAATAAATTATTGCCAGTCTGGTCGACTTTAAACATTGAGGAGTGGTTTTTTATTAATTATTACTGGCAACCTTAAGGATTATTATTTATAATATATATATATATATATATATATATATATATATATATGAAGAAATATTTATTGCATATATAAATTTATATAATTATATATATAAAAAGCACTTTTATCTAATTATGTATGGACATTGTAAATATCATATAATTTTGCGATTATATGTATAATTTTATATTGTTATATATAAAAAATTTTTTCCCGAGATGTTGATCTTTGTGGTAATGGTTTGAATGCTGTTTGATTTATAATTTTAACTCGGTTTTTGTGATTCTAAAGTTATCTACTTGCAAATATATACCTACAAAAAAATATATTTCTCGAAGCAAAGTTATATATGTTAAGAAACATCGATATTACTTTTTATTAATCGATTGTTACTCGCATTGATTATAAAAAACATCGATTTAAATAATCGATGTTCCGAAAATATTCGATTTTCTAAACATCAAGTGAACATCGCCCACCACTAAGGGCGGTATTCATAGTCCGTTCTTATATTTAAGATCGTCTTAAGACCTCGTTCAACCAATCAAGAGATGCTATGCGGCCATTTATATTAAGATTGTCTTAAGACCATTGTTCAACCAATCAAATGGCCGTATAGCATCTCTTGATTGGTTGAACGAGGTCTTAAGACGATCTTAAAGTACTGTGAAGTTAGCCTACCAAAATTAGATTTTCGAAGTTTTAATAATTGAAATCAATAGTTGGTCTTTTATTGATTATTGTTGGTCATATTTTAGCTTTTGTTGGTTATTAGTTTGATTGTTATTAAAAAAATAAATATCAATGTGAAGTTAGCCTACCTAAATATACAATTTTAATAGATTTTAATTAATAATACGTCAAATCGATAGAAAATCGATTATTGGTTCCAATTATGTATTTAGAAATAATTATTTTTTAATTGCTCACATATACTGCGCATGCGCATATACATTGCGCATGCTGTTTCCAACCATTAAGTTAGCTCTCTACAAATATATTATTCCGCGATCAGAAAAATCTACAATTAGATGAAACAGGTATTTTATACAAATACGTTTAAATTGACACATTTATAATTAGTCTTAGTGTATTTATTAAGATTTTAAGTAATTGTACTAACGATATAAATTTTGTGTTGAGAAAATCAGTTATTAGAAAATTTATGGTTATTACAAGTTAAAAATAAAAAAAAAATTATTATTGCTAAATAAAAAACAATTAAATTGTTATATTAATATTTCTTATTTTACAGATATTTGACTATATAATCGCGGAATAATATATTTGTAGACAGCTAACTTAATGGTTGGAAACAGCATGCGCAGTATATATGCGCATGCGCAGTATATGTGAGCAATTGAAAAATAATTATTTCGTTATAATTAGTAAATAATCGACCAACAATTATTTCTAAAGACATAATTGGGACCAACAATCGATTTCCTATCGATTTGACGTATAATTAATTAAAATCTATTAAAATTGTATATTTAGGTAGGCTAACTTTATATTTATTGATATCAACATTGATATTTATTTTTTTAATAACAATCAAACTAATAACCAACAAAAGCTAAAATATGACCAACAATGATCAATAAAAGACCAACTATTGATTTCAATTATTGAAACTTCGAAAATCTAATTTTGATAGGCTAACTTCACAGAACTCGATCTTAAGGGCCATTCTACAATAGGTTGCAAATATCCTCGTTGCTAGTTGACAATTGTCGATTGAGCAATCAGAGCAAAGCGACTTGTCAGCTGATTGGTTAATCTGCAATTATCCACAAACAACTAGGATATTTGCAACCTATTGCAGAATAGCCTTAAATATAAAAACCAACTGTGATGTCTCATCCGGGCGACGGTTCTTCTCTTTTCTTACGTCTAGACTAGGGAGAGAGAAGGCTCTCTATTTTTTGCGGGGCCTGCTTACACCGGCTATACCTCAAGGACGCCGAAAGGACTGAAGGTACTTTTTCATACGCAGCATGCTGCAGCAGCCAATCAGGGTGCGATTACATGGACGCGCGGAAACGCGGAAACGCGGAAACGCGGAAGAGAAAGTAACTAAACTTTACTAGAGTCCCGCATTTCCGCGCGTTCCGTTCCGTCTGTTTTGATTGCCTTATATTACATGGACACAGATTAAGGGTCGGCAGGCGACATGGTGGAGACGCCTATCGGCCGGCCGGGAATTACGGATTCTTATTTTCCAGATATTAGCGAAAATATTGAATGAATCTTATTAAATTTAGGATATTCTTAATCAGTAAACTCATTTGTAGTCCTCTAAAGAGCTATTTTATGAAAAAAAGATAAAAATAAAAATTTTTAATAAACTTGGGGGAATGCACAGCTAGGAACGGGTAAGGTTGGGTTAGCCGCGAGTCCGTATTTTATTTATTATAAATTTTTAAGAGCGAAAATGTAAAATCCGGCCTTTTAGAGGACTGCTTTATTATATAAAGAATATATTAAAAAAAAATTCACGAAGTTATGTCACTTATTTTATGAAATATCTGGACGATAAGATTCTCACTAGATTCATAAGGAGCAGGGGAAATTTCTGTGGTAACATGCTGACTGCTTGACAAGGAGAGAGCATCATTCCATCTTTGTCTCTCTTACATCGCATATGTAGTAGCGTCCATGTAGGTACAAACACTAATACGTGAGCACACGGATGCAAATATTGAGAGATAATGTCAGCAAAAAGGCTATCATATTATTTTTATTTTTTTGTATATGTATGCATATGTAAATAAAGAACAAAAATAAAAACTATTTTAAGATGACATTTTATAATTAATTTTCTATATGTATTTGCATTTTATTAATATGTATTACATTTTTGATATGTTTTTAATTTATAATTTATATAAACATAAGTATGAAATAAAAATTGAAATAGTTCTGAAAATAAGTATATTAATGATAAAATTATTCAAAACAATAAAAAAATTAAATTTAATATTTTTTAGTGTTTGTACCTACATGGACGCTACTACATATGCGATGTAAGAGAGACAAAGATGGAATGATGCTCTCTCCTTGTCAAGCAGTATTAAAAGCCATATTAAAAGCTCTAGCTTCATTCAATTAATAATCCAATATAATAATCAACAATTATTTTTATATAATATATAGTATTTTTAAATATTTTTAAATATTTAAAAATATTTTTTTTAAGATTAATTGAGGAAAAGAATATTTTAAATATAAAAAATATTTTAATATTTTTTTTCAATTAATTTTTAAAACAAATTTTTAAAAATATTTTTATATATTCAAATATTTATTATATTATATAAAAATTATTGTGAATTATACTCATTGGAGTAATAATTATTGATTGAAGCTTGTTATGGCACAAACTGAACATCTTGTACATTGTCTGTATAATATTTTACTTATTTATAAAATGTTTTTTATAAATAAATGAAATATTATATATATATAATATATAAGATTATAATATATAAGATTATTGATGTTACATTGTATAACTCTCATTTCTTTCTCTCTGCTACATAAGTACTTATGACGTGAAAGAACTTACGAGTAACGTATGATGGCTCAATGCAAGAATATTTAATCACGTAAAAAACTTGAGTTCAAATATATCAATATCAATTTTTTTATAATATATTGGAATATAGAAAATCATAGAAATATATTTTTTATATAGGCGATAAACTTAAAAATTTGATATTGAAAATATTTTAATCATTTTACAACTACACATACTATAAATATATAAATGCAAAATAATTCCGTAAATAAATTTCAAGTAATAAATCAATTGCACACATGCACACAGCTGGTATGTAGATTTTTATTAAATTTATTTTCTGAATTATTTTACACTTATATATAGTGTATGTAGTAAAAATATTTTCAATATATTAAAAAATTTTTAAATCGCCGAAATATATTTTTTTATCATTTTTCTATATTCTAATATATATATATATATATTATAAAAAAATTGATATTGATATATTTGAACTCTAATTTATATACTGGATGATATACTGAACATCCTTGCATTGATTATACATTACTCAACGTTCTTTCACGTTATAAGTATTTGGAGCAAATTATACAATAGCATCAATAATCAAAAAGAAATCAAAAATATAATCAACATATCCCTTATATAATATATATATATATATATATATATATATATATATATATATATGTTATATATATACGTTATGCACATATGTGCATAACCATATATACAATTTCCAAAAAGTGGGTGCTTATTAGTCTTGCTACGTTACTGCTTTCTGCTACGGAAGGCCAGAAAGCATTTTCAGGCGGCATCTCGCGTATACCGGCACGGTAGATGAACAAGGAGAACACGTGATTATCGGTCCTTGTCTCTCTTACGTGTGTCCGCGTGAGCGATGCAGTTGGTGTATGTACGTGTACAGACATACACCACTACATAAAACCCGAGAATTGGTTTCTCGGCGTTGGCAACACTGAAACCGGAGTTTCGCGTTGTCACCGCACGAGGTCTCCAATATCAATTCGGAGTTTGCCTGGGTGTACTGCCGACCCTTAATTTTATAATATCACACGAGCCTTGTCTTTAAATATCTAATTGTTTTCCTTATTAAAAATAATAATAATTATTATTATTATTATTAATTCTGATTATCGATTATACTATTATTATTATTATTAATTCTGATTATTATATCATTATTATTATTATTATTATCGCATTATTATTATTATTACTTATTATTATTATTATTATTATATTAATTAAAATTACGAGGAACAAAATATATGACAATAATTGATTAAAAAGTGATTGAAAGCGGACCTAAATAAGAACCCGCCGCAACCCGATCACGAACACACTCGACCTTCGCGAATTTCGCGCACCTTGCGACAACGCGAGATATATATCGCGCGAAGTGGAAGGAACACTTCGGTGGCAGGGATAAGCGCGAAAACAGTGGAGAAAGTGTACAGTGTGTGCCAAGGAGTCCACCAGTTTTGTTTTGTTATGATTCGTGTCATCGTGTCGCAATCCGCAGCCTAGAGATATATCTGCATATATCGCTAACCCACGAGAAAAGGAGAGACAGATAAATAGACAGAAAGAGAGATCGTGATCCGACCGGGATCCTAGATGACAGACTCCACGCGACAATTCTGCACACTTCGATACGATGCGATAGCTTTTACCCAGGAGTCCATGTCGTTCTCGTCGTCATCGTCGTCTAGGAGGTCGTCGTCCAGGAGGTCGTCGTCGTCGTCATCGTCGTCATCGTCTTCGTCGTCATCGTCATCGTCTTTGTCGTTCAGGTGGTCACCGTCGACGTCGTCCAGGATCGCGAATACGGAGTAGAGAGCGGTGGCAGGTGGGTGAGAGTCACTCTTTGGGTCACCTGCAGTATGCCCAGGCGGATATTATGGCTGCAGGTGAGGCCAACACGGCGAAGCCTCGTCAGGAGAAGCAGTACGACTACCTGCTCAAGTTTCTCCTGGTGGGCGACAGTGACGTAGGCAAGCAAGAAATCCTGAGCGGCCTCGAGGACGGGGCCGCGGAGTCGCCCTTCTGCAGCGGCAGCGGTAGGTCCTTTTCTGGTTTTCCATTCTTTGGTTCTCTTGCTGCACACCTGATTTGAACTCTGGACATTCAAGAAAATTTGTTACGTTGAATGGAGAATCAGAAAGATTCATATCAAATAATCTCGTTTTATAAAAAATAGCTATAAATATCCATGATAATTATTATTTAATTATCTTTACCTTACAAAACTATTTTTATATATTTTTTTAAGGAATATCTATCTTCCAATCTTCTTCACTTGATGTGTATTTGGTCTATTCTAGATATTTAACAAAATTTGTTTACTAATTATTTATCTTTTCAGCTTATAAAACAACCACTATTTTACTGGATGGGAAACGAGTGAAGCTGCAGCTATGGGACACATCGGGCCAAGGTAGATTCTGCACAATCATTCGGTCCTATTCCAGAGGTGCTCAGGGTATACTTTTAGTGTACGATATCACCAACAAATGGTCCTTTGATGGTATCGACAGGTGGCTGAAAGAAGTGGAAGAGGTAAGCAACCTCTTTCCAATTTCTATCTATTATTGTACAACGAGAGTTTGATGATGAAGAATGAATCTTGACCTTGATTGGAAATTTATTGTAGCATGCACCTGGTGTACCAAAAGTATTGGTTGGCAATCGTCTGCATTTGGCTTTCAAGAGACAAGTCGGAGAACGAGATGCGGAGACTTACGCAGCTAAGAATCGAATGGCGTTTTTCGAAGTCTCGCCTCTCTGCGACTTCAATATTCGCGAGAGCTTCTCGGAACTCTCTCGCATGGCGCTGCATAGGAACGGCATGGAAAGATTATGGCGATCCAACAAAGGTATCTTATATACATAGTGATCCATTCGAAATCTCTCTTACTTATAGAGAATCTCCGAATCTACCCAGGTTGCAAACCTACATCATCTTGACATCAAATGATGTCATTAAACTTCAAAGTATCGTCATTTTGACGTCTACCGATGTCATTCAACATCAAAATGACATATGATGGCTATCTGGGAGGTTTCTTTTTCAAAATAATTATCCCAAGTAGCAAACTGATGTTATTAAATGTTAAACTGACGTCATTAGATATCAAAATGACATCATTTTAACATTAATGATGTCATTAGACTTCAAAGTGACATTTTGACGTTTGATGACGTCAGTTTGCTACTTAGGTACCTTGTTTAGGCTTAGTCTACTTGAAGGTGCCCAAGTAGCAAACTGACGTCATTAAACGTCAAAATGATGTTAATGATTGGGATAGAAAGTATGCAAATAAATTCGAACCTACATGCGAGATGTATGATCCCATCGCTAAATTTGTGTCTTTATACAGTGCTCAGCCTACAAGAGTTGGCGTGTCGCGCGATAGTAGCCCGGACGACGGTTTATGGCATCGACCAGCTGCCATTACCCAAGTCGATCAAGTCACACTTGAAGTCGTACGCGATGACGACCACGACGACCCAATTGCGCTACAACGGCAACCGTTCGTCGAGCTCCAGCAAGAGTCTAGGATCGCATCGGAAACTGCGCTTTGTCGGGGTCGGACACAACAACGGATTGTCGACCCCCGGAAGCTCACCCGGCAGCATCACCGATTCACGTACGAGTTGCGTCGGTCGCAATTCCTGCACAGTGTCTTGAGAATGGCAGAGAGAGAGAAAGAGAAAGAGAGGGAAGAGATCATCAGGGTAGCTGGTTACTTGCAAAAACGATACACTTAGCACAATCGGGCCTTCTTCCTTCACATTCCCCTCCCTTCTTCCCTGTTTTTAGAGAATTACAAATACGTGTTTCGCGGACTATCTCGATAATTAATAGCGATTAAACTATCTGCGAGATAGTATGAATATGCAGGGTGTCCCAAAAGTCTTGCAACTGTCCAATATCTCGAGGCAAAGGCTTTTTAAAGAAAATGTTTAAAATAAAAGTTATAGAGCTTTAAGTGGCGCATTAAATTGTAATCCCAAGTAGCAAACTGACGTCATTCAACGTCAAAATAATGTACGTTTGCTATCTGGGATGTTAGTATGATTATAAACAGCATTGTTAAGGCCATGTTTATTTTGAAATTTTTAAGTGCGAATTATAATGCTTGAAGTTTGCAGTGTTTTGACATAAAATATGATACAAAATATCTTGTAAAATTTTTAGTTTTTGAAATACTTTTATGCATAAAATAATTAGACAAATCAATTGGTGTAAAGAAAAGGCATAGTAATTTTTAAGAAAATGTATATAATTTGCGTAACATTTTTTCTTAAAAACAATTATGAATTTTCTTTCTTTACCAATTGATTAGTCTAATTATTCTGCGCAGAAAAGTAGTTTTACAAGATATTTTGTATTTTATGTAAAAAAAATAGCGTATCTTTCAAGCCACATAACTTGAAAAATATTTAATAAAAAGAAATTTTATTAGAATGTTTTGAAAAGTTCTTAAAATAAGCTATATGAATATGTAATCAAAAGTAGGGGTTTTTATTAAAAAATATCAAAGTGATGCTATTTATAGTCACACTATTATTACTACTTAAAGCTGTACAACTTTTATTTGAAACATTTGTCTTACAAAAAGCCTTTGTTTTCCAAATATTTAACTATTGTAGGACTTTTGGAACACTCTGTATACAATTCTCTGTACGATTTGTCACTTGTCAATCTGTTTGAAATTATCATATGTACCACGTGCCATTCATCCATCCATGAGATAAAAAGAAAGAAATATTACAATATACATAAACAGGGAAAGATCTTAAATATTATTATTAAGTAATATATTACACCGTATTACATCGATCAGAGAGCTCCTATCGCGAAAGAAAACCAGTTGGAGAATTACAAAGTAAAAAGTATAACACATACACGATTATTTATACATCACGCGACTCGCGCGAGTGTGCCTATATATTTTAAAATTCATAAGTCGCTTTTTTTGGCCGTTGGAAAAGTGGATCCTCTCCCTCCCTTCCTCCCCCTTCCCCACAAACGTATCTCTCTGTGCGAAATATTCTTTAACATAAAATGGGCGAGTAATGAATTGAAAAAAAAAGTACAAGTTTGCTAAGTCTACAGGTGGTTGTGGCGTAGACTAATTATGATAGTGTAAGCGTAGAGAAAGTTTAGAGCAGCTAATTCGAGATATATTAGCTATATATATATATATATATTAATATATTAATTATATATAAATATATAGTATATATAATATATTTATATATTAATATATAGTATTATATATTATATATATAATGCATATAATTATATATATATAATATATATTTATATATATATATATAAAATATATGTATATATATACATCTTTACTTGCTTGTGCCCTCGCGAAAATCTTTTTACTGTCGATCACTGGCCGTAGAAGAGCATATATATATTTTTTAAGACGGTTTTACAAAGAGCAATAAAATGAGCTCTTTCTACGGCACGAGAATTTTTACATTATTATATCACATCGATCGCGATCGGATGATTTCCTTCAATGTTTTTATTTCTTTCGTGTGAATTGTGAAGTGATTTTTTTTCCTCGCGTTTAAAGGGAATGTCCCCTCTTTCTCCCCTCCTCTCGGAAGTATGTTATTTAAAAGTATTGTATCTCTTATTTAATTTCACCTAAATAATAAGTTATACTTGTACAGTATATAAGATTGCAGGAGATGCGTTTGTGTGTGTATTGTATAGATAGATAGATAAAACATACCCGATCTCTAATGATCCCAGTAGCAAGTGTATGTCATTTTGACGTCATTAGACGTCAATTAAATAACGTTATTAGGCGTCAAAATGACGTCATTAGATGTCAAATGACGTCATAGGCGTCATTAAGTATCAAAATGACGTCATTAGATGTCAAATGACGTCATTTTGGTACTTGGGTGTATATCTGTAACAAATTGCTCGATGCCAGAAAAGCACATGAGATGATGTATTTATATATTATGTTAGATTTAACTAAAAATTAAATTATGTGTATATATAAATAGAACTATTATAATATATTGTTTTATGTAAACATAAAATAACACACACACACACACATACAATATGCTTACTTGTCTGTGAGATGTATAACTGAATAAACTTAACTTCTCATTATACACTAATTATATGCAATGCATGTCGATCAATAATGTAAAAAAAATTTCAAACAGATTTCCTACTTTAAACCAAAATCTTCCTTAATAAATGGTTCGCATTAATTTAATGTATACATATTTTGTCACAAAAGGATAATAAAACAATTATATATAATATTTAATATATTAATTTTATATATATATATATATATATATATATATATATATCTTCAGTATATGTATATGTATTAAAAATAAATTGAAAAAGGGGCCACATGCAGCACATTTGAGAAAGGGAAGAAATAGAAAATGCCGTCCCGTTTGCCAAAATGCTTCGAATTTAATAATAAAATGCTAATTTTGTTGGAAGAGAGAGAGAGAGAGAGAGGGGGGGATCTGCGGAGAGGCTGTTTCTCTCCGTATACTTTTTACTATGTTCATATACAATAAACACATTTCTAATCTTAATTATTAGTGTTGATTAATTTATAATTAATTAACTAAGGGGTTAACTACTATTTAATAATTTAATCAAAATTTCTTATTCTAATTAAATAAGATTGGCAAAAGTGTTCATTTGTCTCGCAACATATCGTAACATTATTTTCTTATTAATCTGAGCATTTAACTTTCGTCAATCTATTATCCAACTATACATTATTACTGCAGTTAATAGCAAATTTGATCTGTGAACTCGTCGATCTACATTCAATTATATTACTATATGTTCTTCTCTATTACTTTATGTTTCACTTTTAAAACATATATATAATAATTGTACAATAGAAATAAATGAAATATTTATGAACATATATATGTATATGTCATGTAAAATACATTTCAACAATCCCTTCATAAGCAATTGCGGAGTGTTATTAAATTAATATAACATTTCATATTGTACGTATTGCAAGATTTACAATTCGTCGAAAACGATGAATTTCGCAGAAATGATTATATATTTGAAAAAAATCGCAACTATATAAATTAAAATGTGACATTTTACGAAGCATATTTTTTATATAACTGTTATCGATAACTAAGTATAAGAATAATCTTCTTAAAGAAACAACAATGCACAGCTCGTAAAATAAGAATGATAATAGTAAATTATTTTATAATAAAGATCGGCTTAGCATAATTAACAATATCAGGGAAAGTGTATTTAGAAGGTAGTCCGCTATTATATATTAAATTATATATATATATATTATCTTACGTACACCTTCCATTTTTCAATATCCAATTTGTGACGCTTGTCAATTCGCTTCATCGTAAGAAGCATATATAATTTTTTCGACTCATTATAGTTTCTGAGTATTTAAATAGATTACACAGGCCTGCATAATAAAGAGTCTTAAAATATGTTTGGGCAAAGTAGTTTCATAAGTAATTTTATAAATTCGAACCTGACATCAGAATTTGCCCATATGCATATATATATATATATATATATATATATATATATATATATATATATATATATATAATTTACAAAATATTTTTTTCTGATAGTCTAACTAAATAAGTCCTTTTCAAAACGCCGTTTGAATTTTTTAAATCTGTTAATTAGAGAAAAATAGTCCTTTTTATCTTTAAAAAATTGCATTTTCTGTGAAAAAAATCTAATTTTAAATAATTAAATAATTATTAAAAATTATAAATAATAATTATAATTAATAATAATAATATCAATATGTGTATTAAAATTTAGTGTGTTAAAATTAATTTTAAAATCATTTTCATAACTTATACTTTAATTATCTTATTACTGTAATTTATTAATTTAAACAAAAAAACTATAATTGATTTATTTATAAAAGTTCAACACTAGGGTTTGTGGAGTCCATGAAGCCTGTGTAAAGTGAAATTTAAAACGTCACTTTGACTCTTAATGACGTCAGTGTTTGCTATTTGACATTTTTCATCATTCTTGACATTTTAATCTCAAATTCTGATGTCAGGATTCAGCGAACAAAATTACGTAGGAAAGCACTGTCAAATCTCAAACATGAAAATCATACAGGCTTGTGTTATTAGCACAAATATATATATATTTATAAAAACAAAATTATTAGTACTTAACAATGCTAATAAATAAATATCTAAAATATAATGTAGAACATAACATGTGCCATTTAAAATATCAACATCACCGGTGATTTAAAATAATTTTCGTAAAACGCAAATGAAAACTATAGTATGCCAATAAAAATCTCAGATAAACTACGCATTACTTCATTACAATCTGTAAATTTATACACACTCGTATATATATATATATATATATATATATATATATATATATATATATATATGTTATAGTACGATAATGTGCTTATCACAATAGAGTACTATCTTCCTAGAAAAAGAAATTGATAGATTTAATTAACACTTAATTAAAAAAAAGAAAAACATGATGACAAGTTTTATAAACAGCCAACATGTGTGCCTAATATCTATTCTTAAAAAAAATCAGGTATACATATATTTTATATATGTATGTTAAGTTATTAGATAAAGATCAATCACGTAAATAATAAATAAATTTCTGACACATAAAATACAAATCAATCTCGATATAGTTTTCGTGATTATATCATTTTCTCTTCTTTTTTTCTTTCTTTTTACGACATACGTACAGCTTCATTCAAACAACGAGTACACCTGATCTTCCGTAATATAGCAGACAGATCTCATAAATTTCCCCAAGTCAAATAAAATAAAAAATAATTTTTGTCGTTTACAATTATTTTATCGTTATTTAACTTTTTTTAAAAACAAAGTTGAGCTTATCTCCTACACACAAACACAAATAAAGTATTTGTGATGTAAGATTTAATTATCAAATTAAATGTTCAAAAATGTAAATCACATGGACGACGACACACATACATATAAATATAAATATTTTAGTTTTTTTTGTCAACAAAAGCCGAATAATAAACACCAGAATTTAAAATGATATGCATCTCAGGTAATTTATTTCGACCAAAAGAGCATTTTACAATATCATGATTATTAATCTGTAATCAATTGTACCATTCAATCGCTACATAGGCACTCCGCAATTCTCGTCTTTGATTCTTAGCATGATCGACTAAGATATTAAAAATTCTTTTTTTGCTGCAAATCTCCCCCAAGATGATGGAGAGCGTCACTTGATTAATGCAAACCAATTTATTACAACATGCACTGATAAATTTATCGGGCAAACGTTTTATGAGATCTGTGTGCTAGAAGAGAAAAGACATGAATGTCACGAGTTTTTTCTCAGCAAAGGTGTAGGACTTCACCTGAACTCATAAATCTGTATACTGTGCTCCGGAACATGTCTCAAATTTAAGGACTGATACCTAAAACATAACATAAAAATTGTCTTTAATTATATATATTTCGTTGGTAATATTCGATATGCTTTTTTTTTGTTTAAATAAGTTTGGCAGATTAAAGGATCAAGTATTACCGATTAAGCTCTTTCTCAGTGTACAAGTGTTTAGTTCTTTTAACTTATAATATGCAGATGCAGACTCGCTTTATTGCTTTACCATTCGGAGCTACGATGATAATAAAAGCCCTCTATTGTGGCAGCGGATTTCTGGAAGCAAATGTAGTAGAATCCCGCAAAAGAGGCACCGTTAATATCTTTGATCGTGTGATCAGGAACTAAAAAGTGCTCCTTCCACCTCATGAATACAAAGTCTGTACCCTTCAGCGCCTCGTAATCGAACGTGTCGGAATTGAAGGTTTTGGCATATTGGCAGAACGACTCGAACTTACTCTGCAACGAGAATAAGGAAAATAAGTACAATCGCAATCCTGCAAAATTAGCTAGATAAAGATGAGATAAAAATATATAAATTCAACTTAGATAAGATGCGAAGATGATTTTGTTTTAAATATATCTAGATAAAAGATAAAATTATATGGCGATTCATCTAGATAATAATTTTTAAGACTGCTTATTGTAAGCACACTATTATAAAAAAAATGTAAATTATAAAAGGGATATAAAAATATATGTATTCATATTTTTATTGCTTACTGCTTAAGTTCTACTATTTAAATATTTTTAAGTGCTATGATTCTAAAATTAAAATTATCTGAAAATTATTCTAAATAATTTAGTAAAGATAATACTTTTTTTTCATCTAAGATGCAGATATAGATCATACATATTTTCATTATCTATATAAAGATAAGATGACGCAAAAGTTTCATCTAGATGATCATCCATATAATTTTATTTAGATAACGGCAAACACTGATACGGACCCAGTGCTTCTTGTCAACATCCTCGTCCGCGTCCCACTTGCGAGTGAGAAAGGGATATTTCTTGGAGATGATTTCGCCATCGAAAAACGTCGTCAATGTCGGAAATTCCTCCGTCAAGCCCTTGATTTTCAAGTATCCGCACAGGTAACTGTTCTCTTCGTCTACGTGCTGTAACAGTGAAAGGAAAAATATGAGTATGCGAATTGAATTCTAATTTATTGGGATAATAATCGTTGCAAACAACAGGTGAGAAAGTCTCTAATCAACAACTGGGCCTGTTTGCGCGGTTTATATCAATTTTATTCTGTGCGAATCTCCTGAAAAATTATCCTGAAAGAGATAATTTGTGATGTCAAAGTGTGATAATAATTTAATAGGACACTCAGAATTTTTTAGTCTAGTAGATCTGTTGAAAATGATCCAAAGAAAGGATTGAGAAGTTCAAAAATTAGAGAAGAGTTTATTGCACCTAATATCCGCATCTAATCTTCATCAGCTTTCTTCATACCTGATTTTGATTAAAAATAATTAAAGTATCTGTATATAATTAAAATAAATAAAGATAACATCCAGAACTTTCTTGTCAGACTTTATCTTCATTATTTTCAAGTATATCTTCACTTATTTTAATTAAAAGATCTACTCTGCTAAAGATAAAAGGACTGAGAGATTAAAAAATTAGAGAAGAGTTTAAAATCAAGTTTGTTTGCACTTAATATCTGCATCTGATCCTCTTCGCAACTGATTTTGCATGATCGGAATGAATCAAAGTATCTAGGTATATAATTAAACCAAGTGAAGATATATACATAATATACACCTCCATCTCAGTCAATAGAGCCAAACGCGATGTTATTGTGAAAATTAAGAAACTTAGGAATTCCTATCTCATGGTTGAGATCTCAAAATTTCCCTTGTTCCTCTTTTAAAAGTGAAGATATATTTAAAAAACAGTAAAACTCAGAACTTTCTGTCTTGTCAATCTACTGAAGATGATCCAAAGAAGCAAAAAGTTTAAAAATAATCAGAGAAAATTCCAAAAACAAGTTTATCTGCATCTGACTCTTTTTGCAACTGATTTTGCAGGATCGTAATGAATCAAAGTATCTATATAATTAAACCAAATGAAGATACATTTTAAAAAAACAGTGAAGCTAATACCCAGAACCTTCTGTCTAATCAATCTACTGAAGATGACCCAAAGAAAGGACCAAGAAGTTTCAAAATAATCAGAGAAAATTCCGAAAACAAGTTTATCTGCATCTGACTCTTTTTGCAACTGATTTTGCAGGATCGTAATGAATCAAAGTATCTATATAATTAAACCAAGTGAAGATACATTAAAAAAAACAGTGAAGCTAATACCCAGAACCTTCTGTCTAATCAATTTACTGAAGATGACCCAAAGAAAGGACCGAGAAGTTTCAAAATAATCAGAGAAAATTCCAAAAACAAGTTTATCTCATCCTCTTTGCATCTGTTTTACAGAATCTGAATGACCCAAAGAAACTCTAAAGAATTAAAAAAAAAAACCAAGTGAAGCTACACTTAAAAAATCCATCTCTCCTCTACAAAAGAGGCGCAAAACGCGAGCTTCAATTTTGTGGCGCAATTTCCGAAAAAGCGTGGTGAAGGGAAGAGAGGGAGGGGGGAGGCTAACCTGCAAGACCACCTCTACGTCGTAACTGTTGCCCTTGGACTTCTGCGAGCCCTGAAAGCGCGAGCCGTTGTACAACAAGGACTTGGTGACGCCGGGCTGTTTCGAGTTCGCGGGTGGTGGCGGGATCACGTCGACCTTCACCGGCATCCTTCGGTCAAAGGTGCTGGTGTCCCCTGGGCAAACGACGACACGCGACGACGTTCGGAGAGTCCTGGGGATGGGGGGGAATTTACGACGACGACGACGACGACGGCGGCGACGACGCGGCACCCCGCATATCACGAAGAAGAGAGAAAAGGAGAAAGAAAGAGAAAGAAAGAGAGAGGACCGATGGTGTCGCAATGACTGCCGGTCGAGTCTCCGCGAGGGAGAGAGATACGGGTGCTTTTTATCGCGCGAAGTCTCGAACCCAGACCCCGCGAGACCGAAATTTATTTATCTACATGCCGCGGGTGCAGGAACTCCCGGAACCCGGAATCTCCGTTCCGAGGTGATTCGCTCCCCTCCTCGTGGATCGTTAATTTTCCAGCGAAATATTTTTTGCCCTCCCTCCTTTAACCTTTCTATCATCGAAATTTTTATTCGCAGGAAAAAAAATGCGCGATGAAAAAATTCTAGTCGAGTATATTGAAGTTTTTTTTATTTTTTATTTATTCTTTTTTTTTAAAGATTTTTTGAATAATAATTCGAAAAAAATATAATAATCCGATCTTGCTTCTCAAAATGTCATATGATTGGTTGTCAGATAGATGAATTTTTGGGGCTTGAAAAAATTCTCTAGTCAACAGCCAATCGCGTGCTTTCTTCCTGGGAAGTTTAGAAACTTTTAGTGTTTTTATGTGAGTTCCATAAATGTATTCTTTTTTTGCGACGAAATTTGAAACGCGTATTTTGGGTGATATTCAACTGAACACATTTTTTATTGTTCAGTTATCGTTTACTGTTATCTAAATAAATCTATATAGATAATTATCTAGATAACATTTTGGCGTCATTTTATCTTTATATACAGTCCCATTTTAAAGAGCCATCTCAAATAATTTTTTATTTTTGATTGTATATAGAAGAATTTGTTTTAAACAAAATAAAAGTTATTGTATGGTTTTGAAAATTGTTAAAGTCCGGTTCCACAACTCGCTTTAACCGAAGTTTAATTCGTTGTGAACCAATTCCTGAACCTAAGATGGAACCATTAGTTTGACCTTGAATAGTTGCTTATGAAGGTCACGTGAAGGTCACCTTTAATTTCTTAAATAGAACCACTTATTTTTATTGCATATTCTTGTAGCTTATCTCAAGAGCTTTTCAAAACCCTATAATAAAAGTATTTTTTCATTATAATAAGTATACTTTTTAAATTATAAAGAGGTTCGAAGTTGTAATATAAAAACTATATACATATATAGTATGCTTAGATAATTTCAAAATTAACTAGATAAATATAAGATAAAAATATATAAATTTATTTTAGGTAATTATAAAGATATATGATTTTGTTTTAATATCCCAAGTTCCAGCCTCTACAGCACGAAATATTGCTAAAATATTGCATAAATATTTCAATATTGCGCCATTTTGACGTTTAATGATGTCACAGTTTGACGTTTAATGACGTTAGTTTGTTACCTGGGGTAGAACATATATAATTATTATGTAAAAATAAAATTAATTTTATTATTAAATATTTATTATTTTATTCTTAAATAAATAAAGTGATAGTGACGTCATTATAAGATATACATATATCAAATGCCGCATTCAGCAAACTCAACTGCTAAGTAGCAACCAAACGTGATTGGTTACTACTTTAAGATCCAGCCAATTGGCATCGAAGTACATCAGAAAATCATTCAACCGTTGTGTCTGCCGAATGCGGCCATTTTTATATTATTATATATATAAAATAAATACAGTTTATCTACATAATTATGATAAATAAATAAAATTAATTTTAATATATGATATTTTAAATCGGCCAATAGAGCCCAAGCGCGAAAAATTAATTCTTCGGTACTGTATCTCTTGGTTTGAGATTACTAAGTTCCATTTATAATTAATTAATAAATAAAATTAATTTTATTATTAAATATCTATTATTTTATTATTAAACAAAAAATTCCATTAATTCATTTAAACCGAATTTTGATCAACGGCGTTCTCCTCATCCTGGTGGGGGAAGCCCGTTCCGGGAACAGAAACCTAATCAAACCCAACTCGCGCGTCCCTTTAAATGTCAATCGCTGCCAGATGCAAGTATGGCGGATCTCGATGTCACGAACACGAACTCGCACGAAATGACCGAGAATCATGTCAACAAACGGTGCAACAAAAATCAGTGGGTGCGACTGAACGTGGGCGGGACGTACTTTTTAACGGCGAAGACCACCCTGGCGAGGGACCCGAACTCGTTTCTGTATCGGCTCTGTCAGGAAGACTCGGACCTTATTTCGGACAGGGTTAGTTGACCCGTGTTGTTTTGCTTCCGAGAAAACCGGGAATTTTAAATTAATTCCCCAATTTAGTATTCTATAATCTTTTTCGAGTGTTTATTTTATTTACATTTGATTTATTTTTTATTTTTTTTCTTCCGTCTAGAAAAATGCGCGACATAATAATTTTTGCCTTTTTTCCTCTTTCTTTAAGGACGAGACGGGAGCTTACCTGATAGACCGCGACCCCACGTACTTCAGTCCGGTGTTAAATTATCTACGTCATGGCAAGCTGGTCATAAATAAGGACCTGACTGAGGAGGGAGTCCTGGAGGAGGCGGAGTTTTATAACATCACCGAGCTCATTCGCTTAGTTAAGGAGAGGATCATATTGAGGGACACCAGACCGCAGAGGGACTCCAAGAAGCATGTTTACAGAGTTCTCCAGTGTCACGAGGACGAGTTGACGCAGATGGTGTCCACCATGTCAGATGGATGGAGATTTGAACAGGTATATTGGGTATTTCCTTGTTTCATTTACAAAGTAATTCTAAATAGGGTGCGAGACAGGACTATGCATTTTTACGAGAGAATCCTCCTTAATTTTTGATGAAGAATCATCTCCTAAAAGGACTTTGTACCAAATAGGATTTGGCTTTCAGTGAAATTGGCTGTTTTCTTTATATGTTGTAGCTTATGACTAAAATTCAATTTTATCTAGGATTTTATATAGATTTAAAAACCCTGTATTAATCATATAAGATTAAATCTTAGTGAGAGCAGCTGGTTTTTCTTATATGTCGTAGCTATATCTGTTGAACAAAATATGTAATAGGCTTAAAGCTATATAAAACATGTTTATGATAGAATCCTTCTTAATTTTCGACAAAGAATCATCTCCTAAAAGGGCTTTCTAATAGGATTTTGGCTTTTACTGGAATTGGCTGTTTTCTTCATATGTTGTAGCTTGTTGTGACCAAGATTCAATTTTATCTAGGATTTTATATAGGTTTAAAAATCCTTAATCTTAGTAAAATCAACTGATTTTTCTCATATGTCGTAGCTTATAATCTACTGAACAAAAAATGTAATAGGCTCAAAGTTAAATAATAGATGGTCACTGATTCACAGCAAGTCAAATACAAAAACTTAGGCTCTGTGAGTTGTCTGACTGGCTATAACTCAGTAATTATCCAATATTTAGCTTTGAGACTATTACATCTTTTGTTTAGCAGGACATAAGTTACAACATATAAAAAAAAACAAAAAACAGCCAGTTCCATTGAAAGCCAAAATCTTATGTATTTGGTGCTTATTGGTATATAAATTTCTTTTCCACATGGTGTTGGACTTGCAATAACATTTTCTTTTTATTTATGCTGTTTCTTTACTAATTTATTTATTTCTTCTTTCCAGTTAATTAACATAGGTTCTCAATATAACTATGGTAACGACGATCACGCCGAGTTTCTGTGTGTCGTAAGCCGAGAATATGGAGCTAGTCAGCTCAGCAGTAAAGAAGAGGAATCCACGGATCGTGTCAAGGTACCGCTATCCTATTCGACTGCTTCCCATCCTTGTTTGAGTCAAAGTAGTCACTATGGCTAATGCGACCATTTTATGTTTTCGTTATACCCTGAAACCTAGTAATACAATAGTTTATTAATCAACAGGTTTATTAATAGAGGTCTGATTCACATTTCTTTACTAAATAGCTTCACTGTTTACGTGAGAATTATGTACCCTCTGAATAATTTATGTCGGTATTATGTTATATACCTCTTCTATGTTGGGTTGCATGAGAGATTTTCATTCAGAAGTGAGAAAATAAATATCTAAAGTACAAATGCTTTCCGTAAGAAAATTATTTAGATTTTTGCAATCCAGCATCGATTTTTCCTTGATTTCTAACATTATTGTGAAATCAAATAACATATTTTTTTATCAATTTTTCACGAGGTTCAATAAAACAATATTACTTTTGGTATTAACAATGATTTGCCTAAATTGACTGACAGTTGTATGGGTTGGGTAGAAAACCAAAGATAAGCTTTATCGTATGACAAATAAAAGATATATATTATAGATATATACCTTTAAAAGATAAAGTTTTACTTTATATATATCCTATCAATCACACGCTTGGTTCGGTTCAATTATATTTTTATCTACATTTTTTCGCAATACTTTAGATACAATTGCTTAGAATTATTTTGCTTAATCACAACAAAACAAAAAAAAGAAGGAAAGAATTTTTTTATAGATTTTTTAAATATATTTTTGACGAGAATTTTTAAAAAATTTCTATAAATAAAAATTTATAGACAATCTTAAATTTCTTATATGTTTTGTACATATATACATACACAGTGCTTTAAATGCACACATTTTATTAAAGTCGTATTAATTGAAAAAAACCACCTAATAGTTTGTGAGAGACTCAGAGGCCTCCTCGCATGTTAAGCATGTTCTGCCTCTGATATTTGTTGTACGTACCATACTATTATTATTATTATTATTATTATTAATTATTATTATTATTATTATTACTATTATTATGTACCGCATGCCGTTCGTTAAATAAAGAATTTTTTCTTTCATTGGTTTGGTTACTTTATGACCTGTGACCTGCATGAATTATTGTTATGCATGCTAAAACTATATTATTCATCATACATAAGAATGAATTGTCCATTGTCTCCTGTATATTTTTTTATCGGTAGCTTTTATTTATATATATATATATATATATATATATATATAAATTATTTATATATTTAGATCATATAAAAAATTAAATTATATATATATATATATATATATATATATATATATACTATAATTATATATATATATACTAAAAATATCGTATGGGGTGGCTTTTTGATATGGGGTAGCTTTTGGGAACTGAAACTGCTGTAGCTTTATAGTTATAAACATGTATATATATATATATATATATATATATATTTATGTATATATAAATATGGCGCAACAATGTAACAGAGGCGGAACAATATATTTGAATAAAATCTGTATGATATTTAAATTTGACAACTCATAATTTAGAATTAAGTATATTATAATTACTATATAATAAGTGACTAATTACTGATGATTTATTAAGCTTCGACTGTTGGATTACGTTCTAGGTTTTGCAGCAGAAGGGTTCACGCATGTAATGTCTAAGATCCGTCCTTGTTTTTCCTCTTGCCTCCTTTAATTTGAAAAAATCAACTGCGCTGCAACAGGAGATGTGTGCGAAGACTGTTTTTTTGTTTTTGTTTTCTTCTTTCGTTGTTTCTACATTTAATTGTAAAGGGTAAGCTCCGAAAAACTCTTTTTCCATTATATAGTCTCTATTCCTAGATAATGTAATTAAAAAAACAGGGACATTACTGTGCAAAGGATAAAGAAATTTTATATAGTATATGTATTTATATTACATAGCACAAGATATATACATATACACATACATATATATATATTGTACATGAAGCTTTAAAAACCGAAAGTATCATTATTAATTTATTCCTCTTCATTGACAAGTTGTACGCAGAAAGGGAAAAAAATATCGATCTCACGAGAGAAAGAAGGACATAGTTTAATAATTTCATACAACTTTATACAGACGTAAAAGAAGAAGAAAAACCTTCCTTTTTCTATAAGCGCACCTATCTGCTTTAAAAGCAGGTACGCTATATAATTATACATATATAGTCAGAGAGAGAGAGAGAGAGAGAGAGAGAGAGAAAGAGAAAATAGTTATATTATTAATAAATAATAATGTTGTTCCATATAGATGAAATGGCTGCAGTTATGTTTTATTATAGCTTTGTCGTATATATTTTGAATAGATAAAATGATGTATATTTGTGAAAATTTCTGCGATAATGCGTAGTTTTTAATCTTAGCGCTATAAATAATATACTATACACACACACACATATATATATATATATATATATATATATATATATATATATAGTGGGATGTAGAGATTGTCACATTTTTGTACCGCGAAGAATCTGTACAAAAATTCTTTTTCCCACTCTCCATCCGGTGTGTCCTTATCGTAAGAACGTCTAAATTTACTTATACCTTCGCACTGCCGCTGTAAAACATAAAGAAGAAAAAAAATAATATTTGTATACCTGTAACACGTGATAATTTAAAAAAAAAGAAATCCAAGACGCATTGTAATTGTAACAAAAACTAACTGAATATGAACACTTGACTTTTTACATTGTATTGTTAATAATATGGGGAAGAGGGATTTTTTCTAAACGGAAACAATTTTATTACACTTACTTGTTAAGGATACAAATTTGAAATGTGTGTAAAAAAAAAGAAAAAAGTAGAAGCTTAATCTCTCTTTGTAGATGCTATTATGAAGGAAATTTTAGAGAGCGAAAGAGAGAGAAACAATATGTACAATTTACAAGATTTTGAAATATAATAGTGCACGTATTGTTCATCCATAGATAGAAAAAAATACAATATCCAAGTAGCAAACTGACGTCATTAAATGTCAAAATATACACACACTGCGATATGATCCCCTACATCCGTAGTAATAAATAATAGTTACAACAGATGTAGGCTGTCAATTGTCAAAGGCCTATTATTGAGAACAAAAGAATATAATAAACACATTGGAAAAAAAGAACATACGTAATATTTTGGCTTTTTATAGATGCCATTATAATATTGCAATACATGTGCAAAATTTTTTCTCATACACATTTTTCTTTTTGTAAGAGGGTATACAGTTTAACAAAAAAATTTTTTTTAATCTCTTATAGTTGTATCAAATATTTATGCGAATAGTGAGGTACATAACAAGATATATTACAAATTGGCTGATAATAATTAATTTGACGGAATTTTAGGACCAATATATATTGTTGTTAATCTCGCGCACTATGTACAGTGTTTTTTAGGCATGTAAGGCGATTACTTTCTAGCTCAAACTTCTGTATCTACTCGTGAATCTTTAGTCGGTATTAATTAATGTTCATTATATTATATACATTACACATGCGCTCCTCTTTACTCATGTAAAGTTTGTATACTTTCATATAGATGGAGAGATTTATAATAATGATAGATAGATTTATTGATTATTCAATGTTTGGCATTAGGGAACAAGAAGATAATATGTATATATATATTTACATTGGAGATTAAAATTATTATAACGAGATAGGTCTCAGATTATTCAGATTATTACACGATAAGGATGTAAAAAGTTATCGTATATACATACATATATGCATATTTAATTATTTTTGTGTTTCAAGTGGAAATTTTTAATTTGAAAATTCTCTTGTCAAGTATTATCCAATACGAATAATTATAATATTAACAAGTGTTTGCAACTTAATTAATTGTTCATTTAATTTAACTGCATAAAATGAATTTGTCTGAGAAACACAAATTTTTATATTTTATATTACACATTTAATTCTCGGTTGAAAAATTATTTTAATGAGGCACACAGATTTCACACACATTTTTATACATACAAACATATCCATCTTATCAGTGTATGTATACAGATGTATAATAAGGAAATCAAAAATCATTTCTTTAATGATCATTCAAAATATAAAACAATTCTGATATAGAACTTTACATACCACAACCTTCTATATGCAATAATTCTTATCTAGTAGTGCAATTCACAGAGTGTAACAAATAAAAAAAATTTGAAGTTAATTTTTTGCCGATGCAGTCTCACAATGTCATATATAAACATATATATTTCAAAAAATTATATAAATTTATATTAAATTACACCAAACCACATTTTTGCATTATAAATAGTAATTATTTACAACAACTATTATATTATCGATAGGTGAATTTACATTAATAAGTAGACCTTCCATAGCGTGTGATTTGTAAAGTGAGATGAAGAAAAATTAAAATGCAAATTGTTTGTATTAATTGTAACTTGTACGAAATAAAAGATTTATTGTACTATTGAAGTTCCAAATAACTCTTTATTTTTAAGAGTTTAACAAGGCTCTGTAATATAAATATAAATTTAAAGTGTAAGACAGGCAATAAAGAGCCAATCGCGGAAGACAGTGCGTTATCCCAACGAAACTAAATTTTTTCGTTAGAATTAAATATCTGTGCACAAGACACCAAATTTTACTTAGTCACGGCCAAGATTTTAAAATATGAAATAATCTCATCTTTGAGATTTAATTTCAATAATCCTTTAACCCCCCTACGGAAATAAATAAATAAATGCAAGAGAAAAATATAGATCCGAAAGTCGCTGAATCGGGAATCGAACCCGAGACCTTTCGCTTGCCGGGTGACTGCTCTGTGACCAAGTAAAATTTGGTGCCTTGTGCACAGATATTTAATTCTAACGACAAAATTTAGTTTCGTTGGGATAACGCATTGTCTTCCGCGATTGGCTCTTATTGCCTGTCTTACACTTTAAATTTATCTTTATTTTTACTTTTTTTTTCTCTTCCCTTTTGCTTTTTCTTTTATAATACACCCATATATACAGCATCCCAAGTAGTAAATGTCAAAATGACGTAATTTGCTACTTGGGATTATATTCTTATAATCGTGTATAAAAATATGTATATGCTAAAAGTGAAAGTACACATAATTTCAAATCAATAAAAAATATATTTATACATATACATAGCGTATTATATATTGATATAATCATAAATTCTCATGAACAATAAATAAAAAGAATAAGTTTGAGCATATTTTAATGAAATAAGAATTCCTAAAAACAAAACAATGGTAATTTCAAGGCATATTTGCTATCGTTTTTAAGGGTTGATCAAGATACATAGCCAATGCCTGCACTTTCTCTCGCAACAATCCAAATCCCACATTTTCCTTTGCGTACAAACACAAGAGCAAATTAGCTACTTCTGTAATGACAACTTTTCCTTCCTGTGAAGAAGGGAAGAATTTAAAAGATTCTTATTCTTATTTCAAATAATAAAAAGTTTAATATCATTACCATGCAATCCATTAGGACATAATGTAATTCGTCTTCCTTGAAGGCATTCCTTCCATTCTTCTCGTAAGCTGTCCAAATATTACTCGTAATAGCAGCTGTAACTCTAGCATCTTTATCTCCATAACCACTGTACGCTAGTAATCCTCCATCTCTGTTAAGTAATCTAAAATATTGTTCAAGGGATATTAATTAAGGGATTAATATTTATAATAAATTAATTTTATAATTAGAAGATAAAAATATTTATAATAAAAATTATAATTAACAGATAAAAATATTTACAATAAATAAAAATTATAATTAAATTATAAAAAATAATACATATAAAAAAGTATATGTAAACGTATATTATTTTGTCAATAACAAGTTAGGTATAAAAAGTACTAGAAAATTTTTTAAATAATAAAAAATTTAATTTTGACGAATTGTTTACAAAAAATAAAATTTTTTATTAAAAATTATTAATTTACTTAAAATGTTTACTCACAAAGTATTTTCCACGCCCCCAGTATTAGCCTGACTTAAAACCTGCGTGAGAGCTTTCGGTTTCAACATATTTTTACTTTATTTTATCAAATTTTATTTAATTATTCAAACATATATGTACCGTATATAAATAAAAATATAAAAAACTTTATCGATACAAAACGTACAGAATTTACTTCACTTCCTCAAACTTCGGAATCAGCTGTTATCGCTGTATGAGTGAGTTCGCAAACGTCACAAACGTCAAAAATGAGATAAATAGAAACACACATAAACGATTGGCTATTAAATAGAAAATGTTTGGGGACTTCAAAAATTCCCTATTCGATAGCCAATCATGTCATATTGTGCTTATCTATGCGTTCTTGCTAGAAATAATATCTAGATAGCAATACGTCATTTTAATGTCAAATGACGTCATTTGACGTAAATATATATATATATATATATATATATATATATATATATATATATAATATACAATATATGAATGAGCTTTTTAAAGAAGAAGGTTTTGGTTGTGCAAAGAGTCGACGAATTTTATAGATCGTTTCTAATCTTTCTAACTTTTTCGAAATATATCGACGTCATAGAACGATTAAGACGTCATATAACCCCAATACGAGGGGTGCGTTCCGTTATGCACTGCAAGTACTGACAGTACTACCAATAGCGTTCCGATATAGATAGCAGTGCACTGCGAAAGTACTATCATGAGTATATGACGTCATTAATTTTGACGTTATTTCCTGTTGCGATTACTGCAACCGGCGAGGTAAAGCACTCGCAGTAATCAAGATGGCTACCTCCATGTGTACGATGGAACTAACTTTTAAATTCCATATCTGAATATAATGATACAATATTTTTAACGTAATTTTTACATTTTATTCTAGGTATTTTAATTTGTTGTCTCATTTCATTTATTAATTCCATTTCCAAATCGCTTTCACTTGATGACTCACTCGAATCATATATATTCTCGATTAAATTATATGTAATTAATGCAATAATGGTATTATCCATTTCACCAATTTTTCACTCGATGATTATTAGCGAAAAAGGTTAGTTAAAAGTCTGCTGAAAGCGTACTGTAGTGCGTTCCGTTTTACTATTTTGCAGTAGCTTCAAAGTGCACAAAATTAAAAAGGAACGCTGTCAACAGTACACTTGCATGACGTCATAGTGCCAGTACTTGCAGTGCATAACGGAACGCACCCGAGGTTGAAGGCGTTTTGTCATGTGATAATTAGTAATGCACGTTATTTTAAGTTATTTTTGTATGCAACATGTGATAGTGAAATATGTTATTTTTTTATGCAATATGTGATAATGATATAATATATATTTTTTTAATTTTTAAATAACATGCAATTATTAATTAGAGATAAGATATTAATTTTGAATGCAATTCATATGACAATTATAGTGATACATGTTTATTTTTTTTGTAAAAGTGGCACAAAATGTTATAATAAACAAGAGGATTAAAATTAAAAGAAACAAAATGTTATATTTATCTTTTTATATGCAATGTAATAAATCATTTTATTTTATAAAATAAATATAGATTTATATAAATAAATAATTTTAATTAAAAAGCTTTTTAAAAGCTTTCCAAGTAGTAAACTGACATCATTAAACATCAAATGACGTCACGACGTCATTTTGACATTTAATATGTCATTTTGAAGTTTAATGATGTCATTTGACGTTTAAATGATGTCAATTTGCTCTCTCTCTCTCTCTCTCTCTCTCTCTATATATATATATATATATATATATATTGTTACGTCCCTGATCTTTCATCCCCTGAATATCATCCCTTGTGTCGTGGAGCTTCATCGTTAAGGGGGGTTGTTTATTGACAACCGCCCGGTGGTTGTTTTCAGGCTCCATGACAGTTTTGGTCTAGCTGTCATCTCGTACGGACGTGACTTGACCAGAGAGCAATCTTCTTTCTTTCGCGTGTACATTAGTCATTGTATTTCATCATTGTATAAAGTGAGTGAGAGCACAGATTAATAGACAGATCGCCAAAGGCCTGCCTAAAGAAGAGACCGCCATCTTCGTGCGATAGACTTTGCCCCTTACCGACACACTTTGCCCCTGGTTCGAGTCCGTGCTAAATTCGTAGACTTGAACCAAAAGACTTTGCCCCTGGTTCGAGTCCGTGCTAAATTTCGTAGACTCGACCAAAAGACTTTGCCCCTGGTGCAAGTCCAGGCTAAATTCGTTTGACATTACCAACAGACTTTGCCCCTGGTGCGAATCCAGGCTAATTGATCATGAGACCAATTTGAGAGATTTGGCCCCCGTTGTGTGTGTGTGTGTGTGTGTGTGTGTGAGAGAGAGAGAGAGAGAGAGAGAGAGAATATTTTACATATATGCATATATATATAAAATTTATTAAATATAAAAAATATATTTTTTACACATAAAATGTTTTTTTATTGAAATAATCACGATTTTAAATGTGATATAACACAGTGTTCTAAAATTTTTTAATTAAATTTTTTAATTAAATTTTATTAAAGAAAATTACTTGAAATTTTTTACATTAAGAATTTAAAGGCTCCTTATTCTCTTGTAGAAATTTATCACTACGCCAATTAATCACTTATTTTGAGTATTTAAAATACTATAATATACAGTAATTTAAGTATTCGAAATAAAAGTGATTAATTACTCGAAATAAGTGATAAATTGGCGTTACTAGTAATAAATTTCTATAAGGGTTGAAATAAAGTATAAGAGATAAATAGGCTATATGTGAGCCGTATGCGAAATGTGAGATGTAAGACGCATATTGAAATTTAATTTTTCGATATAACTTTCAAAAATGTACACGAGGTACAAAAAATTAGCTTGGACATTTGTAAGACTTAAAATTGGGATTAATTCTCAATTCTATTAATTAAATTTCGATATAACACACCTTACATCCGCGCACGGCTCACATATATATATAGCCCATTTATTAGTGCAATTTTTAAGTTCCTTATTTTTCAAAGTTCACCTTTTTACGTTATCAAATATTTTTACGTTTTCAAGAATTTTATATTTTTACTTACCGCAGTTTCTTATCCAAATGTAAAATCTTTTATCGCAGTCTATAAAAAATTGAAACAATTTACAATTTTATGATATAATATTATTATTATTACAATTTCTATATATATGCACATCTGTCAAATATCGTGATTTATTTCACATTATTATTATCAAAAAAAAAAAAAAAAAAACAAAAACACTTGCAACAATCAAAAATAAACCGCCTGCCGCGAACGGAAAATGCCAAGAAAGCACGCAATTTCCGCGAATCTCGTAATTTTTTTGAAAAATCAACAATTTCAACGAAATTGTAAATTCTTCAAATCACTGCACAAGTATAATTCACAATAATAATTTTCAGTAACTACGATAAAAAATCGTATACTGAAAACCGCAAACGAAAGTGCAATGGGAGTAAGAGTAAAGTCTGTGATAAAATTAATTGGCAATAGAAAATTAATAATTTTCAAATAGAAAAATTTTGAAATTACCGAGGATTTACAAATAATAAAGTAAAAATATTAAATAATTTATGTGACTTTGTATAGTGAACACATCAACTTGGCGGAATCTTGACTACTCATCAATTTAAGTAAGCAATTCTAAACACAATTAAGATCTTTCACATAAAAAAAAATAACTTATTAATATAAATTAATATACCAAAAAAATAAAAATATACTTAGACAATCACGGTGAAATATACTGCAATGACGAACTTACTCGGAAATATCCTTGATGATGGGGACTAACTTTTTGATGCTGGATAACATCTAATTGTTTTCAATTCTCATATCAAGCGGTTCTGACGATAATTTTAACTAATAATGTTCAAAAGAATTGATGACGTGGAATGGGCCGTCAACCTGTTCTACTAACAACAGGGAACTCGTTTACATGTTTTTTGACATAATCAAAAAATTTACCATCTTAACTAAAAAATGGTTAGCCGATTAGAAAAAATATCTAATTTAATAAATGTTATAAGCGTAACCCAATTTAAATTCATCGACTTATTAAACCAAAATGTTCATTAAAAAATAGACTCTAATGCGTAATATGTCATAATTTTTCTTAAGAGAATTTTTATTGTTTTTATATTTACTGAAGAAGGCTGAGGTAACAGCCGAAACGTTTTATTATTTTTATTATCATTGTATCTACTAAGAAATAAATCAATTATGTGTTGACATTACATCTCTCACTAATTTAATATGCTCGTTATAGTTGGCCCTGTCTTTCTAAATCTTAATTTTATAATATCACACGAGCCTTGTCTTTAAATATCTAATTGTTTTCCTTATTAAATTTAAATAATTTATGTTTTCGAATTTTGCTCGCGGAGAGGATCTTTAAAACAAGATTTTTAGAAGAGAGGACCTTTAAAATATAAACAGGCAAAAACGTTGGAAAAATTAAAGCGCGCGTTTAAACAGATAAACGCAATGAAATAAATACGCAATTGTTTTTACTTATCGCTGTAAGCTCACAAGCTTCTGACGTGCTATACACTTTTATATAATATATACAAGGTGTCCGGTAACTAACGGACCAATGATTAAGGGCGGATTCTCTGGCTAATTTGGAGACGATTTTTCCTTAGCAAAAATGTTGAGAAGTCAATAATTTTCGAGTTATAAGCGATTGAAAAAAATAGGTTTTTTGAAAACTAAACGTTTTGGAGTTAAAAGTCTAACATAATTACATTCTTCAGTTAATTTCAGGTAGAGTTTACTATAATAAAATTTTAATTTAAGGCTTAGTTATAAAGATACATAATGACAAAGATTGGAAAGTTGTAAAAAATGATGACCTTTTTCGACATTTTTGCTGAGGAAAAATCGTTCCCAAATTGACCAAAGAATCCATTTGTAATCATTGGTCTGTTAGTTACCGGACACCCTGTATATTGGACACGAGTTTCGTTTGTTTCAGATTCTCGAGAGTTGAAGTAGGAACATACGAGTATCATATATCGTTTGTGACTTGCCGAATGAAAGCAAGACAGAGAGCGAACGAGATGATGAGCTTAATAGCTCATAATGTTATAAATAAATAAATAAAAAATTATAACCTGACCTACTAGTTATTGAATCTTTTTTTAATAAAATATAATTAATTTAATTTATTCTAGTCATTTTTATATGAGAAAAATAATATCACGTATACGTTTTATAATGAATTAATATATTTCGGGAATCGAATTATATATTCTTAATAATATAAAAGTGTTCAAAAATTATATTTGACTTTTAATTTTAATTATTTTATAGCAAAGAGTTCCGAAATCTCTTACACACATAATGGGGATTTTTTTCATCCATATAATTCGCAATTAAGTATATATGTTAATTATTAATTTTAATAAAATAAAAATTAAAATTAAAGGTCAAATATAATTTTTAAACACAAATATATTAAATTAATTATAAAACGTATACCCATGATAGTATTTTTCTCGTACAAAAATAATTAGAGTAAATTAAATTAATCATAAAAGATTAAAAATTAATTAAAGAATTTAAACTTATATTTTATATAATAATAATAAAACATTTTATTACGTCAAACCGTCGTGAAATAATTAAATAAAATTTGCTAGTTACGTCAAAGTCAAGTTTTCTAAGCTTATAAAACATTTTATTAAAAAACAGATTCAATAAATATAAGTACATGTTATATATATACTTATATTTATTAAATCTGTTTTTTTATAAAATGTTTTATTATTATCATATAAAATATAAATTATTTATTATTTTTTTATTTTTTTATGAGTAATTTAATTTATTCTAGTTATTTTTGTACGAGAAAAATACTATCACGGGTATACGTTTTATAACAAATTAAATATATTTATGTTCAAAAATTATATTTGACCTTTAATTTTAATTTTGTATTTTATTAAAATTAATAATTAACATATATACTTAATTGCGAATTATATGGATGAACAAAATCCCTATTATGTGTGTAAGAGATTTCGGAACTCTTTGCTAAAATAATTAAAATTAAAAGTCAAATATAATTTTTGAACACTTTTATATTATTAAAAATATATAATTCGACTCTCGAAATATATTAATTCATTATAAAACGTATACGTATTAGTATTTTTCACATATTAAAATGATTAGAATAAATTAAATTAATTATTAAAAAACTAAAAATTAATTAAACGACTTAGACTGAGATGATAATAATAATGAAACATTTATTAAAAAATAATTATAATAGGTCAGGTTAATATTTTATTTATTTATTTATTTATAACATCATAAAATTCTGTCCTTTCCGAAATACGCGAACGCTACGAAAAGATAAATCTCGTACATGCCGCCGGACGAGTTCATGAGCATGAGACGCTCTTATCTTGGGAACGTATTAATAGTTACTGCATTGACCACTACTACAATATGGCGCTGAAATCAGTGAGAAATGCTGGTCTCTCCTTCATCCAGACCTTTGGCGATCTGTCTATTAATCTGTGGTGAGAGTGTGTGCGAGAGACGTCTTTTGCGAGAAAGAACGTCCGGAGGACGTAACAATATATATATATATATATATATAGAAAAAAGAATCACGCTCACGTGAAGAAATTTCGAGTCACGTTCACGTGATTGAAAAAGCGACAAAGAGAATTGAAGAAACTTCTGGAACGCCCTCTCTGTTCTATCATGATTCATGATTGCGTAACTTGCTTTCCGAATCGTGCAATTTGCGCAGCCATCTAGTAGTTTGTCGAACGTTGTCGAACGAGAAGGTTCGGGTTCAGAGTCCAGGTTTGCGCATTTGCGAAATATTTCATCAATTTACATCTTCAAGTCTATCCATTTAAACAACTAGGAAAGATGCCACGACGTGGACGTGCAGCTGCGCCTCCTCCGAGGACGTAAGTCCACGATAATAAATTATAATATCCATGATAATCCCTCGTTTGGATCTTGAAAAGTTACATCATGCATCATCATCATTTTCTTCATCATTATGACTTTCTTTATCATCATCATCATCACAATATATCTAAATCTTGTAGAAATTTAGAAACTAAAATGTCAAAATCAGCTGCTTATATAAAAAATCTAGTCTGAATAAAATCTATATAAAATTCATACTAAAAGAGATATATAAATGTAGTTTATATAAAACTGACCTTAGTTTCATTTCTCAATTGTATATTACCAAAACTAGCTGTTCGTGTAAAATTCAATCTCTATATAAAATCCATGTAGAAGACATCTAGTCTATACTAAATCAACCTCATTTCAGCGTCAGACCAGCTGCTGCAGCTGCTCCTGCCCCATCCAGGGTTCCAGCTCATGCCCCACCAACATCACCCATGGTGGCCCAGCCACCGCAACAGGGCCCATCCCTCATGGGCCAGATGGCTGCCACAGCTGGTGGCGTAGCTATCGGATCTGCTGTAGGACACACCATCGGTCATGCAATGACTGGACTCTTCAGCGGAGGCTCCAGTGAGACTGCTGCTGCTCCTGCTGCTGCGCCTATGCAGCAGGCTGCTCCGGCTGCACCAGCCACAGGAGCTGCTTGCTCCTGGGAGATTAAACAGTTCCTGGAATGCGCCCAGAATCAGTCTGATCTGAGCCTGTGTGAAGGCTTCAACGAGGCGCTGCGTCAATGCAAAGTTGCCAATAGTCAGTAGTCCTGTGAAATCTTGTTATTTTCTATCCACAATTTGGTATATAATGTCCTGAAAGTCCTATAGTAGTTAAATATCTCGAAAACGAAGGCTTTTCGAGAAAAATGTTTTTTCTCGAAATAATAATAAGTATTATAGTATAAAAAACAGTAGGAGATAATATAAATACTATTTAGTATAAATACTGAAATAATATTAAAAAATAACGTTGTTGAAGTCACATAAAATTCATTTTTAAATTTTTAAATGAGAAACCCTATTTTTGATTATATATTCATAAAAACTTTTCAAAATACCATAAGTTTTTTTTTTTCATTAAATATTTTTTGAATTTATGAGACTTGAAAGCTACACTATTTTGTAGCTACATAAAATGCAAAATAGCATGTAAAACATTCGGTTTTCGGTAATTTTATCACAGAATAAGACCAATCAATTGGTGTAAAGAAAATGCATAATTGTTTTTTAGGAAAAAATATGTTGCAAATTGTGTATACATTTTCTTAAAAATAACTGTTTTTCTTTATACCATTGATTTTATTTTATGCATAAAAGATTTAAGATAATATTACCGACAACTAAATATTTACAAGATATTTTCTATTTTATGTCAAAATATTGTAAACTTTAAGCATTATAATTTGAAAAGCACTGAATGAAAGAATGCTTTATTATAGTGTTTTGAAAAGTTTTCGAAATAAGCTACAAGAATGTGCAATTAAAAATAGGGGATTCCATTAAAAAATTTCAAAGTAATTTTACATTTTGTTAATAACAAGTTGTTTATAATATAGTCACACTGATATTATTTAATGCCACTTAAAACCCTAATACTTCGATTTAAAACATTTTTTTAAAAAACCTTTATTTTCGAAATTTGCAGGATTTTTGGGGCATCTTGTGTATATATATTTTTTTCTAATATTATTTTTAAAGATATAATCCTGACAATTAAATCTGTAATTATCTCAGATTATTTTCATCATCCTTAATCTTATATTTTTTTTCTAATATTGTTATTTTTATAGATAGTTCATAATTGAATTTGCAACATTGTCCGATTTTTGTTCTTGATTTTATATTATTTAAAAATATTGTTAATTCTATTGATACAGTCTTGATTGAATTTGTAATTGTTCTATGTTTTCTGTTTTCAGATATTATCTAAATTGATGTAGAAAATGGAGAAATATAGAAATTCTCTAGGTGAAGAAATTAAAGTATGTGCTCTATAATCCTATAGATTGTACAGCGAAAAATTTGATTTATTTTTATCATTATATCAATACTGTTAATGTAACATAAAATAGTCCAGCGTTTAATTCATTTCTTTTTAGTACTTATACAGTTTTAAAAGAGCAATAAATTATGTTTGTTTAAATTTTATACGTGTGACATTTAATCTTCCCTCAACTATACATATATATAAAAATGCATGTAATAATAAAAAAACCTATAGTTTTTTGAAAATTATAAATTATAAAAATTTAATGTATGACTTTTTTTCTTTCGAAGATTAAAACGCGCTAAACAAAGCAAAATAAAGACTGACATCAAATACACAGATCGCACTTTTCTTTCTTACTTTATATATTACAATACATTAAACAATAATTTATATTATTATAAGGTGAAAATACTTCTTACAAGATGATACATGTCGGAAGAGAAAAAAATAGCGAATAAAAACTTGGGTATTCTGACCAGAGTAAGGTATAAGCGTACCTCGACTACACAAAGTATTTGCACTTCTTTTTTCATAAATTCTTTCTCTCTCTAATACTTAGCTTTGTATATTTCGAAAATTAGTGTGTGATTTATGAATATATATATATATATAATATGTACCATTCAACCTATATGTATAACGCGATTATTATTATATATAATAACAGATTTCTCTTTCTTTATTCGACATTAGGAGGCAGTTAAACACGCACAAGTAGCACGAGAGAATATGGTAGACTATCTCTTCTCCGTGTTCAGTACACGCATCATCACGTAACCGGCGACTGTGGCGACCGCGATGCCGAGGCCTGCTTTCCACCACACCAGGGAGTCCCCTTGCATTAGGCCGAACTGGTTTATGTGTCTGAAACGTCCAAGCAGAGAGATTTAGAGCCACGATTCTCGAATCGTAAAATTCGAAAAAAATACTCAAATACTTCAATATGATAAAACCACAATGTCATCTTCGAATACTCAACGATACAATGATACACAGTGTCTGCTATTATCTAAATAAAATTATATCGATGATCATCTAGATGAAAGAAAGTGTTATTTATTCAGATAATTTGGTTTAGAATCATAGCAATTAAATAGTAGAACTTAAGTAAGAAGCAACAAAAATTTATAAATAATATATACAATATATTTTTTATATTATATTTAAATAGTATATTTTTTTATATCCCTTTTGTAATTTATATTTTTTTATAACTGTGTTTACGTAAACAATCCTAAAAAAATATCTAGATAAATCACCATAGAATTTTATTTTTTATCTAGATATATTTAAAACAAAATCATCTTCGTCTCTCTCTTATCTAAGATAGATTTTCATATTTCCGTCTCATCTTTATCTAGATAATTTTAAAATCATCTAAGCACAACACTGATGATACAACTAATACAACATAAAAATGATCAGGATGTCTGCTCAAATCTTGTAAAAAAATTTCCTGTTCTTTCAGGAAACTTTTTCGCGTTGAAAATTCCAAGCAAAATAAGAAAATTCACATAAATGCAGCAACTTTTTAAAAAATGAATTTTTTTACTATGTATATGTATTTTAATATATCATTATATTCATATGACTACAAAAATGTTTTATGGATTTAATATTTATTCCCGGCAAAAACCTTGAAAACCTAGTATTTTCAAGGAATTTTGTTCTACCTTGAAAAATCAGGGAATTTTCATGGAATTTAATTGGCATTCAGGAAATTTTTGGAAAATTGCCTCTTTGATAATCTTATTTTTATTTAGCACACAGCTTAAGAAATATATGTCTAACATGTCTTTACAATATAGTTTTTATTAAAGTTTCATGTAATTTTTTAATTGACAATCTATTTTTAGTATAAAAATCTGATGTAAGTTTCATAGAAAATTGTTCTATTTTTTAATAGACAATATTTAAATAAATTAGTACTCTATTTATTTAATAAATAATTAATAATAATTCAACAAACGAATAAATAATAATTTTAATAAATTAATATTTCATAATAAATTTATAATAAATTATTTTTGTTTTATATTTTTATTTTATATTATTGCATATATATTTTTAACGTTTATTAAATGCTGGGAAAACTGCACTCTTGATAACTGTAATCGTCTGTTTTCTTAATTTACTTAGAATTTTTTAAATCAGAGAATTCTCAGGAAACTTATTTACAAAATTTGAGTAGACACCTTGTAATTGTAAAATTAATTTGGACAATAGCAAAATGCAACAAGTATATCACTATCAATATCTATATAAATGTTACAAAGATATACGAAACAAGAATAATTTATTATAATACTAATTTATTTAAATATTATTTTTCAAAAATTGAACAATTTTCCATAAAACTTACTTAAGATCTTAATACTAAAAAGAGATTGTCGATAAAAACTAAAGATATGTTAAACATTTGTTTTTTGAGTGCTAAAATATAAGAATTAAATTATCAAAGGCACAATTTTTGAGAAAAAAATCCTGGATGAGAATTTTTGGATTCTTCAAGATAAAAAAAAACTCCAGAGAGTAGACACCTTGATGACAGATGAAATTTTGCAGATTATATCCTGACAATGAAGTTTTACCATATGCGATAAGCAACATCGGATCGAAAGAAAAATCTCTCTTCTGTTAAAATTTCTAGAGAAGCGTATAAATTAAGCTTTTTCTTGTAAAATTGAGAGATTGACCTTGACATGCTCATGCTTGAATGAAAAAAAGCGGTCAGTTTCTATCAAAAGCGACTACGACTCGAATGACTGAATTTGTGGATCGCGAAGGGGAGAAATATATATAGAGAGTATAAAAGCAGTAATACGAAATAAAACCTTGTGAAAGAACTCCACCACTGAGAGGGTGAGGTTTCGACAAGCAACATGTGGACCATACGCCTCAAATGGCTGAAAAGAGCCAATATGTTGTTACGTATAGTTTTTCCATATCCGTGCGATGACGAGAGATTTTCTAACAAATGTGAGCAAATCGCCCGGTTTATTACAGTTTTTATTATATTTAATAATAAGGATGGAGAGTTAACTCTATCTTGAAATATGAAATGACAGCATGCACTGACAGGAATAGTGACGATGACGGTGATGATGATGATGGATGATGATGATGATGATCGAATGCAGTTTTCACGATTTGCTCAAGCTTCTATTATCTTTTACACAGTGTGAAATTGAAATTCGGACCAACCTGTCTCTGTAAAATAATACCCATGCTCCTTGAAAGCGGCTAAACACGAAATATCTTTTTGTTAATACCGAATTGTCTTCTCCTTTTTTATAATTTATTTTATATATATACGATTACGTCATTATCTTTTTTTTTTAAATTAAAGTACAAGAAAAGAAGAGGGGAGATACTCTGGAAAAGGTGCGAATTGTAAGAAAAACAGCAAATCACTGTTACGTAACTTTAGGGTGAAAAATATATATGTAAAAGAAAAAAAAATAACAAGCGAAAAAGCTGTTTGATCGTAATCGATATAAATTTTGAGTGTGTCAGCTACGAAAGAAAAAAATTATCTATTTTTTCTAAATCGAAGAACCACCAAGAAATCTATCTGGCTAATTTCGTCCTTAAGACCCCTGGTTCCTCAGCAATCATGTCAGATTGTGACGTCAGAGATAATATATGCTAAAAATTCTTATATGTCATTTCGAAATATCTTTTTATTTCGAATCTCCCTGACGTCACAATCTGACATGCCTGCAGTGAAGATGCAGGAGCCTAAAATTCTTGGTTCCTCGGCAATTATGTTAGATTGTGACGTCAGAAGCGAGAAAGCACACGCTGAAAATTGAGGTCCCATCATCATTTTATTTAAAATGACATCTAAGAATTTTCAGCATGAGCTTTCTTGCCGTTGACGTCACAATCTGACATGCTTACAGCGAGGATCCAGAAGCTTAAAGCTCTTGGTTTCTCAGCAATGTTAGATTGTGACGTCAGAGATGAGAAGATACACGCTAAAAATTCTTAGATGTTATTTCGAAATAAAAAGATATTTCAAATCTCTCTGACGTCACAATCTGATATGACCGCGACGAGAATCCAGAAGCCTTTAAGCTCTTAATTCCTCAGCAATCATGTTAGATTGTGACGTCAGAGGCGAGAAAGTACACGCTGAAAATTGAGGCAGTCATCCTTTTATTTAAAGATGGCATCTAAGAATTTTTAGCGTATGCTTTCTCGCCGCTGACGTCACAATCTGACTTGCCTGCGACGAGGACCCAAGAGTCTAAAGCTCTTGGTTCCTCAGCAATTATGTTAGATTGTGACGTCAGAGGCGATAATTGAGGTCCAATCATTCTTTCATTTAAAAATGACATCTAAGAATTTTCAGCGTGTGCTTTCTCGCCGCTGACGTCACAATCTGACAAGGGAAGGTCATACGATGGCCAAAAAGTTAGGTGACAATTTTGTGCTCATCTGATAAGGCACCCTTCAAAAAGTAATATATGAAGTCCGTTTGCTAATGTAACGCCAATTTCCAGATTATCGAGTTGCAAACTGCATTTTTCTCATTTGAAAAATTTTCTATATGCTCACATTTTAACTGTGACCAGTTTTCTGATTTGAAATGTGCACACTGCACACGGTGCTATTGTTTCAAACATTGCTTGCTTGAAAATTTACATATTAACTGTACACATTATTAATAAACACACACATAATGCACGCACGTACACACGCGCGCGCGCACACACACAAATACACACACACACACCGAGAGAGAGAGAGAAACCATTTCTTTTTTTTTTACTAGTGGGTCATTCTGACATGATTTTTTTGACTGCATATTTACTATTTGATAAACAAAATAATAAAATTCAAAAAAATTTCTTTTAATTTTTCAAAAAATTAAAAAAAAATGTTTTTTTAATTGTATTAATGTCATTAAATAAAGCTATTTTTACTATAAAACTTTTGTATAAAACATTTTTTATACCTCCAATAATTTTCGAGATATATAAAAAAATTTTTTTTTTAATTTCTTTTGCCCGATAATCTGGTAATTGGCGTTACATTAGCAAACGGACTTCATATATTACTTTTTGAAGGGTGCCTTATCAGACGAGCACAAAATCGTCACCTAACTTTTGGGCCATCGTATGACCTTCCCTTGTGAGATGCCTGCGGCAAGGACCCAGGAGCCTCGAGTATTCTGTACTATAACAGAGAGAGAAAGAGAGTTCAACTTACGGGAAAGCTGCCATTGTAGCTAGCTTGACAAAAATCTCACGTCGCACCGTACGTGAAATACTGTACGGCTGCGGCGGCATCAGTTTGTACTTGCTGCAAAACGCGGTCGGTTGCAGCAGATATCCCTGTTTCACCTCGGAAAGGTCACTTTTGTTCGCTACTATCAGAACGGGAATTTTGCTATCGGCGAAGTACTTCTGCAAATGCATACTTATTATGTAAAGTTTCCAATATGAGATCCTTTGTTAATGAATACGAGAGAGTATAGAATACTGACGATGTAAATACGCGCTATGTATTCGAATGATTTCGGATTACTGGCGTCATAAACGAGAGCGGCGGCGTCGCACTGTATCTCCGCCGGCGTTAAGGCGTCCTGTACATTTAGCACATTTATATCTTTCAGCACCATCGTCTTCTCCTGTCCGTACACGTGCAGAGTGTTCACGGTCACATGGGCGTTTGACGGTACCGTCTCATCATTCAATTTCTGGAAGAAAGAAAAATATATTATATATAACTATATATTATATATTAAATATATATATGTATATTAAATAATTAGATAATTAAATATATTAAATATATATTTTTAAATAGAATATATGAATAATTATATATTAAATAAAATAATATATTACATAATAAAATAATATATTATACAAAATAAATATATATTAAATATTATTAAAAACACATCCGCAACAACAAGGTGTCTACTCAAATCTTATCAAAAAATTATTCCCTGATTTTTCCAGGGAGTAGACTAATTAATTATACAATTATGAATAATGATTTACCTCAAGTTTAGGATCGATAAAGGTCCTGCACAAAGTAGTCTTTCCACTACTCTTGGGACCTATCACGTGACAGGTGTAGACGTTTCTGCTAGATTGTTTCTTTGCTAGATCTACTTTCTTCTCACGAGTTACGATTATCGCGCTCGTTTGGGGCTCGTTATGGTACATATTGTAACCCAAATACGCCATATATTCCAAGGTTTTGCGCACGTTTGTCAGTGTCAGCAGTGCCCATTGGCACATGTAGCCTTGGAACGTAATCCATCCCTGCATGCAAAATTATGTAAATTAAATTACGTTCAAATATATATTGCATTTATATCTGATGATAATATAGCTTTCCGGTCCTCAGAGAAACAGATATACCGGGTTTTCTTCGTTATTTGACGTTTTACAAGAATTCAATTTTCTTTTAGGAATAATATAAGCAAAAGTATATATAGGATGTCCCATTTTAATTGATCACCTCCAAATTTTTTAATTTTTGATTGTACAACAAAATGTTTCACACAAAAGTTGTAATTTTAACATTTTTCAAGATTATTTGAAGGTCATATGTCATTTAAAGATCATTTATGTTTTTTTTAAATGGAACTACTATATTTTTTTTTTACATAAATCGATTTCTCGCAATATTCACTATAAAAAGTTATTAGAGTGAAATGGCTAAAAAATGAATAAATTTATATTTTTTTCTTACAAACTTTTTTATATCAATTGATTTCTTTCATTTCATATTTTATAAATAAAAGTATTCAGGTAAGATTGTCAAAAAATAAATATCTTACAAAATATTTTATAAAATTCCATTTAATAAAAACTTCCAACTAAAAAGTTCCATTTAAAAAAAACTTAATGACTTTGAAAAGCACACTTTACGAAAGTCTATAGCACCATCTTCTATCCCTCTTCAAATCGAACAACTTTGGTTTGGAACATTTTGTTGTACAATCAAAAATAAAAAAATTTTGGGAGTGATCGATTAAATTAGGACACTCTGTATGCAAACCTTCTCGTTCGTGGGTACGGTGTACTTGTACTCGTCACCCCATGGCGGTACGAGACATCGCGAGAACAGCGATTCCATTTCTAAGGGTGAGAGAGCTCCATCGCGATCGCGATCATGTTGCATAAACAGTAACGTCAAAAACTCCTGTCCCTTGTGCGATAATTCGGTGGTGCAGCCAAGTGGGACTTTTAATCTACGACAAAGTCACTCGATTATTAATACTGAAGACACATCAGTGAAGACACTCTAATTGACTCTTTATACATACGGAGGGTGAATATAATCTTTTGACATTTGCAGCTCATTATCATAGCCAAACTTTCGCAACACGGCCCAAGTAGTTTCGTTCCTTCCACGTTGTATGAATAAACATTGTAAATACATAAAACCTGCATAAGTAAGAGATTATATTAATTTATATTTATTTATAAATTATATTTTATTTATATAATTTATATTTTTATATATACATATTTCTTTATATAAATTGTATTTATATTTATATAAATTGTTAATATATCATTAATATAATTTAATATATTAATTAAGAATTTAACAAGGCTCTATAATATAAATATAAATATAAATTGAGAGTGTCAAACAGGCAAGAAGAGCCAAATCGCGGATGACAGTGCGTTATCCCAACGAAACTAAATGTTTTCGTTAGGATTAAAAACCTGTGCACAAGGCACTAAATTTTACTTGATCACGGCCAAGATTTAAAATTGGAATAATCTCTACAAGAGATTTAATTCCATACATCCCCTGTTCCTCCCTTAAGGAAATAAATGCGAGAGAAAAATATAGATCCGAAAGTCGCTGAATCGGGAAAAAATTCAGTTTCGTTGGGATAACGCACTGTCATCCGCGATTTGGCTCTTCTTGCCTGTTTGACACTCTCAATTTATATTTATATTAATATATTAATATAACTGATATAAATATAAATTTATATAGATTTATTAAATACAGATTATATTAATTATAGTAATTAGTTTTAGTGCTTAAGTTTAATATTGAACTGGCTGAATACCTTTCATTGTGACACATCCATTACATATACCGTCGCAAATATTTTTTGATAGCACAGCTTTCACATCCTCCAGCACTTGCGGTTGTAATGGTGTGTTGAAGCACCATTGTTGAAACGCGTTCAATTCCATATCGTTTAAAAGTCCATCGTTATCAACATCGCATATCTGTTGGAAAAAGAAATAATAATATAATAGATCATTCATAAAAATAAAAAAAGATATAGTCAGTGTTTGTATATAATACACATATATTTATATACTTTTTAATCCATTGCAATTATTTCTGAACCTTATAACTTTACTTTAATTATATTTATATTACTCATGAAAATATTGTTCAGACAAAAATATAATTTCAAAAAATATTTCATTTATTTTGAAAAAAATTTAAATATATATTTGTGAAGATAAAAATATATATCCAATACATACTTTAAAAATTCGCTTTAGAGCAGTTTTGCATTCCTCGGTGAGCTGAAATAGAACATATTGTTTCAGTCAAGTTTAGTTAGAAATATTAAATTAAAGAAGAACTAGATATATATAAATCTCACCTCCTGTGTGTCATAATTGTATAAAGGTGTCGTAGGATGCAAAACTGCCTTTTGCGCGTAATAAAACGTTTCCGAAACATTCTGAAGTGTTTTCGCCGAGCACTAAAAAGCAGAAAATAAAATATATATCTCCCCATATCCTTCTCCTTCAATTTCCTTCGTTTATAAATCAAAATGTATTTATGTCTTACCTCTATGCAACTCTCAATCTCTGTAAACTCCTTCATAATGGGATATACAGCCTAGAATGTCAATTAAAAAAATTAAAAATTATCGACATGTAATAAAATATAATAAAAAATGTACGCTCCATTTAAATATTTCTTTATAACAAACCTCTATAGTAGAATAATCTACGAGATCGATTTTATTCCCTACGAGTACAACTGGGCATCGATTGTCAGGCGAGCACCTTCTGATCAATGGTAACCAATAGCTAGCAGCTCTGTCCAGAGTATCTTCATCTTCCACCGAATAAACCACACATATCACATGCGCCTTCTGAATCTCTTCTGCTAGCTGATCGTCTGTCTGCTCCACCGCTGTAAATATTATAAGAATATTATGATAATATAAAAATATAATAATAATATAATAAGAGGAAAAAAAAAATAAAGATTTAAAGAAAAAGAAGATAAAAAAGAAAATAAAGAAATAATGAAGAAAAAATTAAAAAAAAAAAGAAAGATAAAGAAAATAATAAAAAGAACAAGAAGCAGACAAAAAGAAGATAAAAAAATAAAGAAGGTAAAGGAAAAGAAGAAAATAAAGAAACAATAAAGATAAAGGAAAAAATGAAGAAAATGGACGATAAATTAAGAGAATAAAAATGAAGATTAAAATAAAGAAGAAAAGAGGAAAAAGAAAGAATGCAAGAATAATAATATATTTGACAAGAAGAGGAACACAAGAGTAAAATATTGTGCACCATACTTGAATAAAGAAAATGAAGGAGAAAAAGAAAACAAAAAAAAGAAGAAAATGAAGATAAAAGGGAAAATAAAGATAAAAATTTAGGAGAAAAGAGCAAAAAGAAGAGTACAATAAAAATAATATATTTGACAAGGAGAGAAACCCAAAAGTAGAATATTGCGCACCACATCTGACTAAAGAAAATAAAGAAAATGAAGATAAAAAGGAAAATAAAGAAGAAAGGAAGAAAAGAAGCAAAAATACAATAATAATAACAATATATCTGACCAGGAGAGTAACGCAAAGAGTAAAACATTGCGCAGCATACCTGAATAGTCGACTATGTGGGTCGGCACCTGTTCCGGGGTGACGTCTGCCGGTATCGTGATCTCCTCGGCCTTGCTGGGCACCTCCTCCGCGTACTCCTCGCTGACCAGGGACAGGATCAGGGAGGTCTTGCCGACGCCGCGTTCGCCGATCAGCAGTATCCTGACGTTGCGCCTGGGCGCGACCGGGCGTTGCACCATTCTCGCTCGCGCTCGAGTAACAAAACAATTACAAATCCCCTGACGATGCCTAGAACGGCATTCGCCGTTCAGCGCCTCCTGGACGGCATCGTCGTTCGTACGAAGAGAAAGCCGCGCGCACAGTTACGAGGTATAACCTAAATAAGACCCGCGCCGAGCCGTCAACAGCACCTCCCGCCGAGAGTGTCACCGCTCGTGCTCGTCCTTAGGGTGACATTTCGTGGGCGACAAAGATGATCCGATGATCAACCACACATTCTTTTCATTCTATTTGCTTTCTCTCTCACCGTTTCTCCTTGTATGTATTATTGAAGGTGTTATTTGGGATTTTGCCTCGATTCCTTTTGTTCTCTTCCTCTTCTTCTTTCTCTTCTTCTTCTTCTTTTTCAAAGCTGGCGACTGACAGCAAACTCTCCGGCGGATTCACGGGACCGAAGTGTAGTTGCGCTTCGAGGGTGGCCTTTTCAAGGTTACCTATGCCACCGCAATGAATGGTGCTGTGTGTTTGTGTGTGTATAGCGGTACTGCATATATATATGTGTGTATATTGCTCTTTGCACTTTATTTCGCTCTCTAGCGCGCGCGCATCTGTGATTCTTTCCTTCTGTGACATATAATGGGTGTAAAAAAAAAGTCTTTTTATACGTCCCGTCTTTTCTCCCCTGCTTGGAATAATTTTTATATTGAAATCTATAGAAATGAAAAAATTATTAAAATTATTGTGAAAACATCTCAGCCAGCAAATAAAACTAAAGATGACGAAAGATGATGTCTTTTTCAAAGTCATCTGTTCGGCGAGGTTAAAAAGATAAAAATAAAGGAATGTCTTTGATTATGCAAAAAAATCATCTTTTGAAAGATATTCAAAATGTCACCTAAAATTTTATTTAGTTCCGAAAAGAAAGAAATTTAATACAGAGGGCGTTGTGTTGTATTGAAATATTTATGCAATATTTCGTCACAGATTAATAGACAGATCGCCAAAGGTCTGGATGAAGGAGAGACCAGCATTTCTCACTGATTTCAGCGCCATATCGTAGTAGTGGTCAATGCAGTAACTATTAATACGTTCCCAAGATAAGAGCGTCTCATGCTCATGAACTCGTCCGGCGGCATGTACGAGATTTATCTTTTCGTAGCGTTCGCGTATTTCGGAAAGGACAGAATTTTATGATGTTATAAATAAATAAATAAATAAAATATTAACCTGACCTATTATAATTATTTTTTAATAAATGTTTCATTATTATTATCATCTAAGTCTAAGTCGTTTAATTAATTTTTAGTTTTTAATAATTAATTTAATTTATTCTAATCATTTTAATATGTGAAAAATACTAATACGTATACGTTTTATAATGAATTAATATATTTCGAGAGTCGAATTATATATTTTTAATAATATAAAAGTGTTCAAAAATTATATTTGACTTTTAATTTTAATTATTTTAGCAAAGAGTTCCGAAATCTCTTACACACATAATAGAGATTTTGTTCATCCATATAATTCGCAATTAAGTATATATGTTAATTATTAATTTTAATAAAATACAAAATTAAAATTAAAGGTCAAATATAATTTTTGAACATAAATATATTTAATTCGTTATAAAACGTATACCCGTGATAGTATTTTTCTCGTACAAAAATAACTAGAACAAATTAAATTACTCATAAAAAAATTAAAAAATAATTAAATAATTTATATTATATATGATAATAATAAAACATTTTATAAAAAAAACAGATTCAATAAATATAAGTATATATATAACATGTACTTATATTTATTGAATCTGTTTTTTAATAAAATGTTTTATAAGCTTAGAAAACTTGACTTTGACGTAACTAGCAAATTTTATTTAATTATTTCACGACGGTTTGACGTAATAAAATGTTTTATTATTATTATATAAAATATAAGTTTAAATTCTTTAATTAATTTTTAATCTTTTATGATTAATTTAATTTACTCTAATTATTTTTGTACGAGAAAAATACTATCATGGGTATACGTTTTATAATTAATTTAATATATTTGTGTTTAAAAATTATATTTGACCTTTAATTTTAATTTTTATTTTATTAAAATTAATAATTAACATATATACTTAATTGCGAATTATATGGATGAAAAAAATCCCCATTATGTGTGTAAGAGATTTCGGAACTCTTTGCTATAAAATAATTAAAATTAAAAGTCAAATATAATTTTTGAACACTTTTATATTATTAAGAATATATAATTCGGTTCCCGAAATATATTAATTCATTATAAAACGTATACGTGATATTATTTTTCTCATATAAAAATGACTAGAATAAATTAAATTAATTATTAAAAAACTAAAAAGTAATTAAACGACTTAGACTTAGATGATAATAATAATGAAACATTTTATTAAAAAAAGATTCAATAACTAGTAGGTCAGGTTATAATTTTTTATTTATTTATTTATAACATTATGAGCTATTAAGCTCATCATCTCGTTCGCTCTCTGTCTTGCTTTCATTCGGCAAGTCACAAACGATATATGATACTCGTATGTTCCTACTTCAACTCTCGAGAATCTGAAACAAACGAAACTCGTGTCCAATATACAGGGTGTCCGGTAACTAACAGACCAATGATTACAAATGGATTCTTTGGTCAATTTGGGAACGATTTTTCCTCAGCGAAAATGTCGAAAAAGGTCATCATTTTTTACAACTTTCCAATCTTTGTCATTATGTATCTTTATAACTAAGCCTTAAATTAAAATTTTATTATAGTAAACTCTACCTGAAATTAACTGAAGAATGTAATTATGTTAGACTTTTAACTCCAAAACGTTTAGTTTTCAAAAAACCTATTTTTTTCAATCGCTTATAACTCGAAAATTATTGACTTCTCAACATTTTTGCTAAGGAAAAATCGTCTCCAAATTGGCCAGAGAATCCGCCCTTAATCATTGGTCCGTTAGTTACCGGACACCCTGTATATATTATATAAAAGTGTATAGCACGTCAGAAGCTTGTGAGCTTACAGCGATAAGTAAAAACAATTGCGTATTTATTTCATTGCGTTTATCTGTTTAAACGCGCGCTTTAATTTTTCCAACGTTTTTGCCTGTTTATATTTTAAAGGTCCTCTCTTCTAAAAATCTTGTTTTAAAGATCCTCTCCGCGAGCAAAATTCGAAAACATAAATTATTTAATATTTTTACTTTATTATTTGTAAATCCTCGGTAATTTCAAAATTTTTCTATTTGAAAATTATTAATTTTCTATTGCCAATTAATTTTATCACAGACTTTACTCTTACTCCCATTGCACTTTCGTTTGCGGTTTTCAGTATACGATTTTTTATCGTAGTTACTGAAAATTATTATTGTGAATTATACTTGTGCAGTGATTTGAAGAATTTACAATTTCGTTGAAATTGTTGATTTTTCAAAAAAATTACGAGATTCGCGGAAATTGCGTGCTTTCTTGGCATTTTCCGTTCGCGGCAGGCGGTTTATTTTTGATTGTTGCAAGTGTTTTTGTTTTTTTTTTATTAAAATAGATAATAATAATGTGAAATAAATCACGATATTTGACAGATGTGCATATATATAGAAATTGTAATAATAATAATATTATATCATAAAATTGTAAATTGTTTCAATTTTTTATAGACTGCGATAAAAGATTTTACATTTGGATAAGAAACTGCGGTAAGTAAAAATATAAAATTCTTGAAAACGTACCAAAAATATTTGATAACGTAAAAAGGTGAACTTTGAAAAATAAGGAACTTAAAAATTGCACTAATAAATGGGCTATATGTGAGCCGTGCGCGGATGTAAGGTGTGTTATATCGAAATTTAATTAATAGAATTGAGAATTAATCCCAATTTTAAGTCTTACAAATGTCCAAGCTAATTTTTTGTACCTCGTGTACATTTTTGAAAGTTATATCGAAAAATTAAATTTCAATATGCGTCTTACATCTCACATTTCGCATACGGCTCACATATAGCCTATTTATCTCTTATACTTTATTTCAACCCTTATAGAAATTTATTACTAGTAACGCCAATTTATCACTTATTTCGAGTAATTAATCACTTTTATTTCGAATACTTAAATTACTGTATATTATAGTATTTTAAATACTCAAAATAAGTGATTAATTGGCGTAGTGATAAATTTCTACAAGAGAATAAGGAGCCTTTAAATTCTTAATGTAAAAAATTTCAAGTAATTTTCTTTAATAAAATTTAATTAAAAAATTTAATTAAAAAATTTTTGAACACTGTGTTATATCACATTTAAAATCGTGATTATTTCAATAAAAAAACATTTTATGTGTAAAAATATATTTTTTATATTTAATAAATTTTATATATATGTCCGGTAATTGTCTCCTCAACCGTCGTCTGCAGGTAAAGTGACACAAACCGAATAGGAAAGTCCTCTACCGTTTTGCGATTTTCGCAATAATTATTGAGTTATTAAATAAAATAGATCGGCCAATCCACGCGAATAGAAGCACGCGACGAGAAGAGACGTCCTACTGTAACACGATACACGAAGATTTCTCGAACACGATTCGTAGACAGTCATCGTTCGCTCCTCCTTCCGCTTTGCGACGCGCCGTGTATCGTGTTACAGTAGGACGTCTCTTCTCGTCGCGCGCTTCTATTCGCGTGGATTGGCCGATCTTTTTTATTTAATAACTCAATAATTATTGCAAAAATCGCAAAACGGTACAAGACTTTCCTATTTGGTTTAATTCACTTTATCTGCACATGATGGTTGAGGCGACAATTACCGGACACCCTGTATATATGCATATATGTAAAATATTCTCTCTCTCTCTCTCTCTCTCTCTCTCTCACACACACACACACACACACACACACACAACGGGGGCCAAATCTCTCAAATTGGTCTCATGATCAATTAGCCTGGATTCGCACCAGGGGCAAAGTCTGTTGGTAATGTCAAACGAATTTAGCCTGGACTTGCACCAGGGGCAAAGTCTTTTGGTCGAGTCTACGAAATTTAGCACGGACTCGAACCAGGGGCAAAGTCTTTTGGTTCAAGTCTACGAATTTAGCACGGACTCGAACCAGGGGCAAAGTGTGTCGGTAAGGGGCAAAGTCTATCGCACGAAGATGGCGGTCTCTTCTTTAGGCAGGCCTTTGGCGATCTGTCTATTAATCTGTGATTTCGTGCTGTAAGGGAAAAATAATAAAAAGATAATATAATAAAACATAATAAGATAATTAAAAAGATAATATAATAATTAAAATAATAATAAGATAGACTCTATCACAGATTAATAGACAGATCGCCAAAGGCCTGCCTAAAGAAGAGACCGCCATCTTTATGCGATAGACTTTGCCCCTTACCGACACACTTTGCCCCTGGTTTGAGTCCGTGCTAAATTTCGTAGACTTGAACCAAAAGACTTTGCCCCTGGTTCGAGTCCGTGCTAAATTTCGTAGACTCGACCAAAAGACTTTGCCCCTGGTGCAAGTCCAGGCTAAATTCGTTTGACATTACCAACAGACTTTGCCCCTGGTGCGAATCCAGGCTAATTGATCATGAGACCAATTTGAGAGATTTGGCCCCCGTTGTGTGTGTGTGTGTGTGTGAGAGAGAGAGAGAGAGAGAGAGAGAGAGAGAGAAAGAGAAAGAGAATATTTTACATATGCATATATATA